AGTTCGAACTTGTAACAGTTCGATTCTGTCCGCTTTCTGTTCTGGTACGTGTGCGAAAAAAGGACTGTTCTGAATTGAATCTGTTCGATTTTAGGTCTGTTCGATTTTGAAAACGTTCGAATTCGTCGTACCCCCTTTTTGGCGTCTTTTTGAGGATACAGAAAAATGTAAAAATCTGAATAGGTAGGGTAATTAGTATAATTACTCGGCAGGTGTAAACAAAACTTTCTTTGCATTCCAGAAATTTCGAAAAGCTCCCAGAAGAATTTTGACACAAAATCGAATAAACATTTTCGAAATATTCGCTTATTTGTTGAGAAATTTTTGAAATTTCAGCGGTTTTCTGAAAAGTTTTTCTGACAGAATATGTGAGAGAATAATGTGACCGGAACTATAGAAAATGTATCTGTCTAGCCAAATGAAGTGGAAATTAATAATCAGTTTTTTCAAGCGAGTACAAAAAGAAACATATGACTGGTTTTGCGAAAAATAATGAATGACGAGAGCAAAAAAATGAGTGGGTAGTTCGAAGATTCCAATCATGGAAAATATCACAATCTTATAAGAATACATAGGTGTGGTGAATCTGCTTTATGTGAAATATGGGGAGATAGATTAAAACGTAAGTTGTGATAGCGGTAAAAAGACAATCGACCTTGGCAAGAATTATGAAGTAGGCTTGAATACTTGACATGGTACTGAAAGGGATGTTTATAAAATTTTTAGAGAAGAGGGCACTCCCTCGAGAGTGTTATGTTTTTGGCACAAATATTGTTTTCAGAAGAGGCAGCTATCAATTATCAAACTGTTATATAATGCAGGGGTGTACTGTGGGTTTTGGAAGAGCACCGTTTCGTGATAATTTTCCGGTACTCTGATACAACTATCATGAAAACTAAACTGTCAATAGGTGGATACAAACTCAATAAGGAGCATATTGCACCGGATTGCACACTTATTTCAATGTTCAGCAATGGGACTAGTAGAATTGGTGTCGATGGAAAAACGAATATTACAGTTGGAACAATGATTTGAATGACGAGAGCTTTGAAAAATTGCTTTTGAAGCTTTCGATTGGGAATTGAGAACTTCTGAAGCTCTTTCTGCATCTGAGATTGCATACGAAGACCACAGAAAACAATGATGGAATATTGAGATAATAGACAGAAGGAACCAGAAAAAAGATAAAAGAGGTTGAGCCATCTGATGTGATTTTCACTGTCATATGGAATGATCAGAAGGCGTGGAACTTTGGATATGGAAAGATCATAAACATCGAGTATTGCTCCTCTGGAAGTTAGATATTGGATGTGGTTTTCACAATAGCCTCACCTCATGTACTCATCCCCAAACTTGTCTGGATAGGCCATTATAAAAATTGACAAACCATTCAAAGTTCCAACAACCAGTGGATAAGATCCCCATACCATAACTCCAAAACCTTCAAACTTGGTACAAAGCTCTGGACTTATCAGTGTAACATATCTGTAGACAAACTGTACAGCTACAAAAGCCACAATCAAGACATAAAATAAAGCGTAAATCACTAATCCAGTTTGCATGACGTCTTCAGGAACCCCGTCCCAGCCGAAGCTAAAGAACATGATGCCTTTGTTGTAGTTATGGACGTATGGTCTTGCGATTTGTTCGATAATGGAAAAAGTGATTCCGAGTAACGAAAAGATAATGATCATGTACTTGTAAACTCCAATTATCATTTTGATATGGGCAACGGTGAGATATATTAGTAGGCAGTTTGTTAGAAAAGTTAGACAGCATCCGATTTTTGTAAGGAACGAAAAATATACGAAAGAATTTGACATCATACGCACACTAAAAAAGGAAAAATGAATTGTTTCCAATCAGAGAAAATCCCAAAAGACTACTACTATGTCTTTGGTACAAACAATGTGTTTCAGACAGATCGAAGTTTCAGAGAGTTCATGAAAGTGCTTTCTACATATCGGATCTGTTTACAAATGTAAGTTTAAGGAAATTCCCAAGTACCTGCACCCCTCTTTTCCTAATGCCGCATTTTTTGTTTCAATTGTTTCAGTTTTCTATTCCTTATCACTATCACTCTGTGCCATTTTATTCGCCATCTTCTTCTTTTTTTTTCAGTCAAACCCTTATCAGTTTGCCATTCTGAGTACGCTGGGATTCTTATTTGTTTCAAAATCGGAAGTATTTGTGGAGAGAGTACGTGGAATTAGCGATGAGGAATAAAGTTTTGAACTTTTGCCTTTTTGACAAAGCATTGTGGAATAAAGTGTAGTGTGGGAAGTTTGCATTTTAACCCAAATTTTCAAAAATTCCTATGACATAACTAACGCCTGAAACAATGACAATTAATCGCCTGAAACAATGACAATGCGCCCAAGTTTATGACGTGACAATTGATAGGTTGGTGTTTAACAAAAAACCGGCATGTGCTCGAAAAAAGTGTCAAGAGCTAGAAAAAGTGTTGAAAGTGACATCAAGTACAGGAAACCAAAATTCAAAAAACTCTAGGGTGATACGGTAGAACAAGTTTCGCGCAAGCTGGTGAGCCCAGACGCATTTTTTGTGCACTAATGTTTTTCTCCTTATTTTCAGCATGTCCTAATTACTTTATTTCCGAAGTTTTTAGCCTCTAGGTTGATTTTCACAGGTATGGAGGCTTATTCTTGGCTTACAATGAGCCCAAATAGAATCGAAAAACGTCGTGGAATCTCACGAACATCTGTGTGGATAACCATCAAGTGTTTCGCAAAGATGGCCCTATAATTAGGCACCGCAACATAATTTTCAAAATAGATATTTTCTTATTTTTATTGTTGGATTCTCTTCTCCATTCTTATAGAAGTCCATTCCCAAAATTTCAGCGAAAAATCTTTCTCCAGACTTGAGTTACAGACCCTTTTGTACCAGACCTCAATGTACTGACTTTCTCCTCATTTTTTTGCGGTGCGCAGAAAAGTGGGGGGGGGGGGGGTTTAGAAGCTTGCAATCCTGCGGCGCGGAAAATTCGACGAGGAAATTAAAGAAAAAGACAACAGACCCAAGAGGGATTCGAACTTCCGGCTAACACAGCTCGCGGCGCGCGCCCACTATTCAGTCGGCCACAGCGGCACTTCTCGTGTAAGCCCTAGAGGGGATAGAGGAAAGGGCGGCTGTTCGTTGCCTGTCGTCTCCTTTCGGTGTTGCCGTCTTCCTATTTTTTTAAATGAACTGCTCTATGAAAGAAGAGGAAACAGAAGATTTAGATATGACCGCCACGGTAGGATTTTCTGGTTAAGACTTTATTTAATAGCAAATTTTGCGTATTTTCTTATGGTAGAAAGAAAATCGGAGGCACTCACCTGTGTCACCATCAAAAATCCCAAAAACCGAACATTTTGAAAGTTTGGAATTTTCGGATGAGTATTAAAACTACTTAAAAGTAGCCAATCTTTCTGAAAATTGGCACAGGTGTACACAAGACTTAGTTTCACCATAATATGCAAAAAAAATTGGGGTCATCGCTGAAATTTTCCTGTATTTTGGCTGGAACTTTGGCTGAAAATTGTGTCACAGCCGCCACAGTAGAATTTTTATTTTATTTCAAAATCCAATCTCCCATTTCATAAACTACCAGAATCCATCAAAAAATTTGGAGGCACTAACTTCCATCCAACACTTTTAGTCCACTTTGTCAGTCTGATCCCTGTTTTTCGAAGTTTTCGAATCAAAATAATGGAATTATCAAAAAACTGTTGATTCCATTCGATTTTTCATAGTCGATTACATGGGGACAAGTTTTAACCCTAAAAATAATGAGTTTCTAACGCCCGATACAAGACTTCAAAGATGGACTTCTGAAAAGGGGAGAAAAATTTGGTCTAGAAAGTTCACAATCGCTTATTCATTTCATTGCTCTCAAACGTTGCTCTTCTTCCTCATTCCCATTTTCTCCTTGCAAAAATTCCTAAGCACACACAAAATTTGATTTTCCTCAAACTCCAACTCAACCTCGACAATAGATGAGAGTAATTTCGTCCAAATGCCGAACTGATAACGCGGGCACTTAAACCGCGAATAAACCTTACGTGGCGCCGATTACACAGTGTGGGCGGAGCTTAGCGTAGGGGGTTTATAGTAGTAAACAACTGGCACGGAAAGTTTCAGTTTGCCCGCTTTTTTTCTAGTCTTCTTAAGTTCTTTGAACTGCATTTTCAAAAAAAATTTTTCAGCCATGTCCACGTACAGTAGCTCTCGTACTGTCCAATATCAAGCCTATGGGACCAGTTCCGCGCAAAACACCCAATACAATTTGGTCAGCGGAATGTCGTCTGCCGGAGCCATTTGCACCACTCAAATCCGTGATGCTCGTGAGCGTGAGAAGAGAGAGATTGGTCTTTTGAACGATCGCTTGGCTGATTACATTGAAAAGGTTAGTTTTGAATTTTGTCGTCACTTTCTGTCTTTGATATCACACATCCTTTCTTATCATCAATAATTTTCAGGTTCGCTTCCTCAAGGCCCAAAACCACGTCCTCGAGCATGACATTGCAATCCTCAGAAATGGATTCACAGGAAGCGGACAAATTTCGACCTACTTTGAGTCTGAAATCGCGGTAAGTCGTTCCCCTCCACCTTTCATTATCTATAAAATCATTTTTAGCAATCCACGAGACTCGTACAAACCGTCCTTGCCAGCCGTACCAAGCACCAAGCCGACATCGCTGCTCTCACCGCTGATATCGACATCTGGCGCACTAAGTGGCTCGAGGCTATCTCTGCAGTCAAGGCTCACCGCGAGGATCATGACGTGAACTTGGATAAACTTGCCGCCGTCGAAGCTCAAATTGCTTTGGTCCACAGAAAGATCCGCATTGTGGACGAGGATGTCGTCAGAATTCGCAGAGAGAACGGACAGATCCAGGGAAGCATTGGAAGCATTCACGCGGTAATTAGAACTTGAATCTTTCTGATTTCGAATTTATGAATCAATCAAAATTTGCAGCAAATTCATCGCGAGGTTGCTTTGAAAAATGAGCACAACTCTCGCATCCAAACACTCATCCATAGCGTGAAGAGTCTACAAACCGAGAACAGCTCCAGAATCGAACAAGAGCTCATCTACATCCGTCGTGATACCACCATCGAGAACCGAGACTACTTCCGTTCTGAACTTCAAGCCGCCATGCGTGACATCCGTGCCAACTACGAAGAGATGAGCATTCGTTCCCGTCAAGACATCGAAGTCTGGTATCACAAGCAAATCGAAGACATCCGCAGATCAACCACCCATGTTGGATACGTGGATGCTTACAAGGAAGAACTTGTGCACATCAGATCTACATTGAGTCATACTCAGAGTAGACTAGCGGAGATTGAGTGCAGAAATACCATGCTCGCCAGTACAATCACAGATCTTCGTCACCAACAAACAGAAGAGGCAAGAATCTTCGAGGCTGTTCTAGCGGAGAAGGATGCACAGAATGCCAAATTGAGGGAACGCTGCACAGAGATCAGTATCCAGATGGAGAAGCTTTGCGACCATGAAGTATCCCTTCAAGCGGAACTGGAGCGTTACCGAGTGCTTCTGAATGGCGCCAATGTCACCACCTATTTGGCCAATTCATCTTCCTCAGCACATCGCACCTCTCACGTCACCACCTCCACCACTCGAACCACAGGAGGATACGCTGCAAGTACCGGACACACATCTGAACACCGAGGAGGTTACACCATCGGTGGCAACATTGGAGGAATCTCCGTTGGAGCTCACATCGATGGAGGGCACGTCACTGGAGGAATCACCAATGGGCACCATCAAAGCTCATACTCCTTCTCCTCGTCTGCTTCCAACCGCTAGATGACAGTGAAAAGTTTGCTCAATAGTTTTTCGCTGTCATAATAGTGTTGTTTCATTCAATACCATTGATTTTCCTATGTTTTTGAATCTTGAAAACCGCGAAAAGTCTGATGGCAAAACAAGGCAAACTGAAAAAAGTTCAAACCCTCTTAATAAATCGTTATATTTTTCAAAAGTTTCGTTTTTAAAATTAAATAAAATTAAGTAGGTTAGGTGGTAAATCGGCATCTGGTGGTAAAGTTGTTTCTGGCATGTGAACAGTGTTATAGATCTGACATCTTCAGAAAAAAAAATACAGAAATTAAAAAAAATACAGAAATTGAACATTTTTTTAGCGGTCGTCCGGTACTGAGAAGACATCAAAAGACATATGAAAAGATGAGTCGAGGAGTTTATGATAGGAAGGCATTCTGCGAAAACCGGAACAAGTACCATAATTGTTCTGGAAATAAACAAAATTTTGTAGAAAATTTTTATGAAAAATTTTCTACCTCATTTTCGGATTGCTTGGGAAAAATGCGCTGCCAATATGCGACAATCCGTTTGGAACTTCTAGTAGAAAAAATGAAATTGTAACAAATATTACCAGTTTTGTGGTGTTTTCAGTTTTATCATTCTCACGAATTCCAGAATCCTTCCGTCTTTTAGATGCCTTTTTTAGCTCGAGAATCAGGAAAATGGTAAGGATTGGGTCAATCAATGAAGGAAGAAGTTTTATGAATCCGTAAACTGCGACAAGTTTGACCTGAATTTCTGCATCCTCATCGGGTATATAATGTGCGTAACGGACTTCGTTTGTATCGTTTAATAGAATCACATTGTTGTTGCAGCTGAAATTACAAGTATTAATATTAGTTGGATTTACAATGGAAGAAACGAACTCAAAGTCCCAATCGTACTCAGCGATGATCCTTCTTGATTGGACCATCCAAGTTGTAAAAGAAGTGAATATCAACACACCAAGAATAGTCCGAAATGCAGCTACAGGTTTAGTCAATTTCTGAATCCGCACGCTCATCGGGAACTTTACCGATAGCATTCTATTCAACGCCATGAAAAGAGCCATCCAGGACGCGCCTCTTTGAGTGATATCGAGTAGAGAGATACCATGCAAATATAAAAATGCCTCAAAATATACATAACGCCTGGTACATGTTTCTTCCTGCTTTGATGAGTCGCGTATCCAAAACGGAGTGAATAGCACAAAAGTATTAACTTGGGTCAATAAGTCGCAGATGCATATTCCTATCATTAATCGATAAACTAAATTAGATCGCATTTGTGGACGGCTCAAAATAGATAAGTGAACTAGATTGATAGCAAAACCGAAAAATTGAAGAATACAGATTATTATAGTTGAAGATGTAATACACTTTGCTATACCAGGATGGATACTCCAAATCGCTGACCACATATTTGGCTGTGCTGGTGTCCATCGCTAATCTATCGGTTCTCGGGTCCTAATTTATAGTAACTCCAGACAAAAATAAATAGTCTGAAAGTCCTACCTACGTAATTATTCATGTAATTAGCACCTGATTTTTTTAGTGACTAGGGGGTACTGAGCGCGCCTGTTTTTTTTGTAATTTTCTTCATCTGTAAAAACAAGCTTATTTCATTGACGTAGACGGAAGTCTTTATACAAATAAATGAGATTTATGGGTTTTCAATGGGTCCTTGTCGGTTTACATTCTTCAACAAGCACAACTTTATCATTTCTTGGTTCAAAGCACTTAAAGACAGTTCTTGCGGTTTCACGATATTGTGTAGACATCAGAAGACATACGAAGAAGTGAGAAGAGGAATTTATGATTGGAAGGCATTCTGCGAAAACCGGGATCATAACAGAGATCGTTCTGAAAATTGTAAAAAATTCAAATGTTCTAGAAGCTCCATTACCTCACTGGCACATTGTCCTGAAATAAGCCATTGACAATATGGGAGAACCCATTGGGAACTTCAAGTAAGAAAAATGAAATTGTTACAAACGCTACAAGCTTTGTAGTGTTATCAGTCTTATCAACTGTCAATGATTTTCCACAATTCTTCCGTCTTCTGGAAGCTTTTCGAAGCTCCAGAACTAAAAATACAGTGAGAATCGGGTCAATTAAGGAGGGAAGAGCTTTTATAAATCCATAAATTGAGACAAGTCTCGCCTGAATATCAATGTATTCTTCAGGAATCAAGACGCCATAACGGGTTTGGTTGAGGTGGATTTCGTTCTTGTCGCAACTGAAAACTTGAAATTCTCTCCCTTTTTTATGGATAATAATTTTTACTCATAGTCCCAATCATAGTCTCTTATTATCCGTCTCGCTTGAACCATCCAAGTTGTTAGTGATGTAAAAATAATCACTGCCAGAATGGTCCACAACGCGAAAACTGGTCTTGATATCTTCTGAATCTTAGCATTCAATGGGAATTTCACTGATAACATTCTGAACAAAGCCATAAGAAGAGCCATCCAGGATGCTCCACGTTGTGTAATGTCGAGTACGGTAGTGCCATGCAGGTATAAAAGAGCATCAAAGAATGTGTGAGTCATATAGCACTCATCTTCTGGCTTTGACAAATTTCTAATCCAAAATGGACTAAAAATCAGAAACGTATTGATTTGGGTCAAAAGATCACAGCAACATATTCCGATCATCAATCGGTACACTGCATTGGAGCGCATTTGCGGACGGGTTAGAATTGAGATGTGGATCAAATTAATTGCAAATCCGAAAAATTGCATAATGCAGATAGTGTAGTTGAAAATATAGTACGCTTCTCGGTACCATAATGGTGGAGAAATATAGCTTTTCATGATTCTATGGGTTGTGGTGTCCATTTTTGGGAACACTGGGAGGGGGTTGGGGAGGTGATGGGGATGTTTGAGGCGATTATATATGAAAGTCAGATCGTTGAATGAAAGAAAATTACAGTTTGACTCAACAAAAAATCTATGATCCGTGAGGTATGGTCCACTAGTCTGATTGACTACAGAATTGTCAACAAAAGATGATTAGATGTTTTTCCTGTGTCCAGATGCCCATACACAAAATCTCATTTTATGACCAAGACAATAATGGCTATACTATTTTTGTCTCGACATTATTAAATTTTTGTGTGTACCAAAAATCTATTATCAAAAATATAAACAGGAAAACTTTTGTTAGTCAGAATCTAGAAAAACCTAGGCCACCACAGATCCAAGAGTATCATTGGTTCCTCTTCTTTGGCATTCTTGGACAAGTATAACTTTTGGTTTTGATCTCCAAAATCTCCCATAAACCTCTTTGACTGTAGATTTGTACTGGGACGACATAAAATAGCAAATAAAGAAATGAGAGGATGAATTGAAAACTGGAAGGATCTCGGCAAACACTTGAACCATGTACGAAACTGATAAGATCTCAGGAACGCCGTGAAACACTCCGGCAGTGACATGCGCAAACCCATTCGGAACTTCCAGGATGAAAAACGATATTGTTACGAATAATATCAACTTTGTTGTATTTTCAGAATTACTCGGTTTTCCACATTTCTTACTACGTTTTGCAGCTTTCCGAAGCTCAATGATCAGAAGTACGGTTAGAATCGGATCTATTAAAGACGGCAGAGCTTTTATAAATCCGTAGATATAGGTTATAGTGCTATGGAGATGTTCCAAATTGGTTTGGACCAAAATGAGATATCGAACCGGATTCAGATGAACTTCATTTCCATCGCAGCTGGAAAAAATAAATTACGTGGGGTCTAGGAGTCCTAAAGTTTTGACTCACTCTGTATCAATATTCCTTTCAACTATCGCATGCCTCCCGAATACCACCAACGTCCAAGATGTGTTCACTAGCAGCAAGACTAAAATGGTCCACACCGCCCATTTAGGTTTCGACATCTTCTGCATTCTTGCGCTCATTGGAAACATTACAGATAGTGTTCTATAGAGCGCCATTGCCAGAGCCAACCAAGATGAAGTACGTTGTGTGATATCTAGAACGACAACAGGATACAATGAAAGAAACGCATCTTTGTAGGACATAGTCAGAAAGCATTTTTGACTCTCTTTTCGGACTTCTTTAATCCAAAATGGCGAGAATCCAATAAAAGTCAAGGTATGGGATATAAGATCGCAGGAGCATATTCCAATCATCAAGCGGTACACAGAATTCATCCGAAGATCTTCTCTGGTCAAGACAGATAGATGAACAAGGTTGATGAAGAATCCAAAAAACTGAAGGATTGCCAGAACGTACTCAAATATTTCATTAGCTTCATCAAACCATGGTGGAAGTGTGGCATAATCGTGAAGCACTGGGGATTCTGTAGTTGAGGTGTTCATATTTTTTGAACAGTGATTTTTTTGAATGCATTACTGATTACAGTCATTTTTATAGTTTTCAAGAAAACATGGTGCATTATCTTGGGGAACAATCAACAGAATTGTTTTGTCTGGCCGTGTATGTAGGATAATCAAAAATATGAATTAAAAATAAATGTATGTACATGAAATTAAAAAGCATAAAAATCAGAGAACAAAAATAATTATAGAGTATCTTTGAGAAATAAGAAAAAACTCTAATAGTATTGCAGGTATAAGGTATAAGGTATAAGGTTCATCCAAACGACACGAATTTTTGGCTGATTCATCTAATCACGGGAGATCTCGCATGGTCGCGCTGGAAGAACCCTTGGCCTTTTATCCTTGTTTCGATTTGACTGTCAGATTCAATTTTTCTAATTATGAACTGTATATTGTGGTAGTTATATTGGTATATTCATCTAAAAGTTCCCAGTCTCCACTTCTTTGGACAGACCACCAAACACATAGCATCCCCATTTTCATAGGAAAATTAGGTTCCGTATCGTAGTCCTTCAAAACATTAGTTACGAATCGAACCAGTTCTTGAAGTTGCCAAAGGACTTCAATCCGTTCGCAATACTTAATTGACTAACGAACAATGCCTTTGACATTTCACAAATGTTTTGAAACGGATCGGCTTTCCTGCTATTCTTCAATAGGGCCAAATTCAACATTCGGGTCGAGATTCGTCTTCCGATTCTAAATTCTCGAAAGTGGAGACGGTGTAGGCTGAAAGAGATCGTCATGCTCGCGAACGACCAGTATTAGGGATGAGGCAAAATGCATACAACAAGTACATGAAATAATCTATCTAACAAAAAACATCCGCCAAGAAAAACCATCCCACTGACCAGATATCAATTCTCAAAGTTAAGCATTCAAAATCGAAAGAAACTTTTGCATCAACCTAATATAAGGTATAAGGTATAAGGTATATGGTATACATAGATATAGGCTTCCATAAGAACTAATACGGCATACATAGATCTGGGTTTTGCGTTACTATGTTTGTTGTAGACATTCCAAATGACACTTTTAACTTCTAACGTTTGCAAATGACACTGAAAAAATTCCAAATGACATTGAAAACTTCTAACGTTTTATAATTTTTTGTCTGAAATTGTTCTAGATCTCTGTCCTAGATTCCTCTACAAAGCTGCCTTTGAAAGATCACTCTGAACGATCAAAATCAGAATGGCTTTTCAAAAATCCCCTTTCTAGACAGTTCGTCAGCTTTTTTTCAGACACAACTTGGAGCCAGCTATGTTATTATTCCCTTCCTCGTTTTTCAAGACCTTTTCTGTTCAAAACCTATAATTTTGTCTCGAATGTACGCAGGTGTTAACCTGATAAGAAAAAAAACGTGATTTGAATAATTTATTTCACTTTTACCCATTCTGTTGAAAGATCCGTTAAATTTTGATGCAAAATCTTGCCTCCTGCAATTTAACAGTGACATTTTTGGACACTGCCGAATTCTTATCACTAACCTTACATTCCATGAGCGGATTTCAGTACCCCGCTCACTTATTTGGAGCTTATATGATAATTTTTAAAACGCCAAACGGAATGTCTTCTGTTAAATGGTCTCTGTTGAATTTACATATTTGGAGTTCTATTCTAGATGTTTATTGGAGCACATTTGCAATACCATTCGTTATTTTTCCATATATGGCTGGAAATGGCATAGGGGTATTATCAATGATAGGATTGAATACAGGATTTCAAGTTTACTTTTCTGTTACCATAGTTTCAGGTGAGAACTTTTTGACCACACAGGATGTAAAAAATTGGTCGGGCATGTGAAAGTATGATAGGACAATGGCATTATCTGAATAAGACGAATTTCAATTGTGAAAAAAAACAATATTTCCAGTTCTCGTCGCTACTATGGTCCGTGTTTATGAACATCGATGGTACCTGCTAACTAGAAATCGTAAACTGTGGAGGAAATTTCGAGGTCCTCTGTGCTATACCAATTATATAATTTGTATTACTTTCTTCATTCCGTTCCTCTTTTTTGTGCCGGATCAAACGGAAGCCATTCCTGCGATTTTGAAGGTTAGAACATTTTGATCTGATCAATGTTGACAATATTTTGAATGAGATAATCAAATGTATGTGCCAGAATTGAATTCTGGCCAAGGAGACATTCTGACCAAGTGCGCTGAAATTGAATTACACTGAAATAGAAGAACTTCATTATAAAAGATTTGTGGAATAAAAAAACGTTTTACAGAAAGTCCCTTGCTACCACCTCTATACACAAAACGTCCCTCTGTACGTCTTCACTTTGAACCCAATTCCTCCTATTATCACAGTCGCCGTGTTCAGTATTGTCCAAATTGGCTTGATGACTCTTTTTATATCTCTAACTGTCCGTGTATTAACATATCAAGCACGACGAAACACGACTTCACAGTATACGATATCGCTACACCGAAGATTTCTCTACGCTCTGATTGCTCAGACAGGACTTCCAGTGATAGTTGTATTTTGTCCATTGCTCAGCTTATTTTATCTAATCCCAATGGGTTATCATAATCAGAGTGAGTTCCCACATTCTTTGTGATAAATTAATCAATAATTTGATTTTTAGTGATAACCAACTTCATATTCATTTTCGTATCATTGCACGGGTTCTTCTCTACTGTTCTACTTCTTCTGGTCCATAAGCCCTATAGGACGGCAACTTTGAGAATTCTTAAATGTAAATGTAGAATCAAAAACACTGTACGCGGGTCCAGTTTTAAATGAATATTTTCGAATCCTTTTTTCTGCGTTCAATTTCCAGAGATTTTAAGCCAACTGAAAACCTTGATGGAGAAACACAAGTTGAAAATATTTAAAAGTTTGCAAACTAATCATTTCGAATTTGAAAATGTCATATTGATTAATCACTGACCTTCCCATATCAGTTTGTTTACTTCTGCTTCTGAAAATTCCTCCCTCTTATTCTTCCTTATACCAAATTATTTCTTTCACATCAACTGATAATTTTGCTCTGCCCACTTTGCTAACTCTTACATTTGCAATTGTTCAGAGTTGTCACTTTATTGGACTACTGTTACAGAATGGCGCCTTAAATTGGCGTAGCTGCTGCCGATATTCTTTTTCGAAAGCTTCTGAATAGTGGAAAATCTGTGAGTCATGATTAAATATTGCCTATTCGATAGCGTAATTTTAGGAATTCCAATTCCGTCAGATTATTATCAACAGAGAAAATGTTAACAAACAATTACTTCGTATTTGTCAAGTAAAATTTATCATTTTGAATACCTTTAAAACAATACAATTTTTCAGGACTATATCCTTTCCTTTGAAAGTCGTTGAAAAGCAAAAGTTTCGTTCGTCTTTGCGCAAAACTTCCGTCTGCAATCGAGACTAAAAACCAATCTGAAATCGCGGAACTTGGACGAATGGCTGGAGAATTGTCCAAAGAACTAGAAAAGGATCGAGACCAAGTAATGGGCGAACTGGAGCAAATTTCGATTCAAAGTCCTGAGCTACAAATCAGTGAAGCTATCGTCTTAATGAAGTCTATCACTTTTCCTTCCACCGCTTAAAAAAGTTATCAACAATTTCTCCGTTGTTTTCATCTTCGCTATTTCCTCACTCTTATTTTCTTTTTTGCTTTGACATTCTCTCTTGCTAATTCTAAATACTTTCCTACTTGCTTCTATCGCTAACTGTTATTCTTCTTATTGTGATAAAGTAAAAAAATACGTTTTCTAATCGTTTGCCATTTTTCTAGTTGTTAATTTTTGATAATTGTTTGGTCAGTTCACCTACATATTTATCAAAAAAAAAGTGAATTTTGTTTAGATTTGTTTCCTCTACAACATACGCTTCTTCTTCAAATTTCGTTTTTTTTTCTTTTTTTCAATAATTTTCAGACGTCATGTCAGATTTTGAGGGAGTTCTTAAATGTTGGGAAAAATGCGAAGAACAACTGAAAATCGTAAAAAATGAATTGGCTGATGGTAAAAAGAAATTGATTTCATATACATAAACTTATTCCATTTCAGTTAAAAGGGAAAGAGATGAGCTAAGGAAATCAGTCCGCGAGAAGGACAATCAGGTAAGTCTTTCAAAATTGCAATTTGAAAGATCTTCTAGTTATGGCTCAAAAGATAGTTAACTGACAAAACATTTTTGATACTACCGTAAACACTACTCTACTAGAATGTCTCAGAAAGTAAACTTTGAGCAACTATATCACGGTCTCTGTGAAAGAAAACCAAAATGTGTCAACTGATAAAATGTTTGTGATATTATGATAAACAATTTATCAGTTGATCACTTTTTGATAATTTTTACAGAAACCGAGATAAATTGGATTGAAGTTGAAAAGTGCTTATGGAAAACCAATTATTATAATTTTTCCTTCAATATCCAGATGCTGAACTTAACGGCTACACATGGTAAAGCACTTGCGAATCTGTACGCTAGAATTGGAAAACAAAAGAAAGAAAATCAGGAAGAAATATATAAACTTCAAAACAATCATGAACAAGAAATGTTAAATCGAATAGAAGAAACGATCATTGAAGCAAGGAAGGAATCGGAGAAAAAATATATTGAGGAAAGAGAGTGAGTTTAATTAGTTCTGGCCGTGGGCCGGCCGACAAAGCCATTTTTACAAAAATAGGAAAATTTGGTTGCTTGTTTGCAGATTACTGGTCAGTCAAATAAAGGAAAGTCAAAAAAGGCACGACGAAGAAGTAGCAACAATGAAATTGGCTCACGAACAGAATGTAAAGCAACTGCGAGAAGAGAATTTGCAGAAATTCAACGAAAGAGAACAGGATCACACAAACCAGGTTGGTGCATATTTATTTCAATTTATATCGCAACGTTTTTTTAATTTCCAGCTGGTACTGATAAAAGCTGAAAACACCGCGAAACTTGAAAGTTTAACCGAGCAGCTGGAGACGAGGAATCAACTTAATAAGGAAACAATTGAAAAGCTGGAAAAAGAAAATCTGAGAATCAAACTGCAACAAATGGAAAACTTTAACGAGTACCTGGAAAAGCTAACAAAACTGGAATCTGATAATCAGAAAATGATACTAGAAGTCAGGAAACAACAAGAAGATTTGCTGAATAAGACTTTTGAAGAGAAAAAGTTGGTTTAATTAAACTTCTTCATCAAAAATTCCTGAATTTCAGACAGCATGAAGAACTGATGGCTCAAGAGCTATGCAAGACTGCTAAACAGAACCAGGATGAACTGGTGCTTCGTATAAGACAAAATGCGAATCGAGAACTGTTGAAAGAGTTTCGGAATGTTTTGAAATCCATTCAACAAACAAAAGAAACTTTGATGAATATTACGATTCTAGTAAGCGGTGAAATTCAAATTAAAAAGTAAGAATTTTCTAATTTTCAGTGTTCGGAAGAAAATGCAGGAATGAAAGATACATCCATCCTTGAGATGAATCTTCATGAGGTCTCACAATCCAAATCAAGCTCCATGCATAAAATGGAATTGTTCGAAATGTACGTTCTGAATCAGCAGTATGCTGATGAAGAGGTTATTCAAATTTGTCAGGTTAGACAACACATAAAAGCGAATAAAATGATTTATTTTGTTTTTAGAACTACCTCCGATCGGTTGAGATGTTATTAGGAAGCATTAAACTCATGAGCATGTACACGAGCCCTCTGACTGCCACTCGGACTGTTAAAGTTAAAATTGATGGAATACGAGAAAAGGCTATGGAGTTGTCTATGGAATTCGAAAGAAGTAGACAAGAAATAACTGGAAAACTAAAACAAATTCGTTCTGATGGAAATTTGTTCTTTCAGAAGCAACTTCAAGAAGAGAGCTCGTAGACTTGCCCTTCGTGGTTTACTTATCCTTGGCTACTTATTTTCCATTAATTGCTCATTCTTATTTTCCACTTTTTTTTTTGTGCCCAATGCTTTCGCTAATTCTTGTCGGACTGATAAAAAAGATCTAAATTATTCAATTTTATTGATACATTTGAAGAATTTTTCTATTTATGAAAATCTAAAATCCAACTCCAAGAAGGATAAGTCAAATATGTTTTAGTTCAATGCAAAAACTTCTGTAGACTTCACGGATATCACTTTCGGCTTCCAGATCCCTGAAATCATATAAAAAAACTTGAATCACAAATTCTTGTCACAACTTACATCTAGAAATGACTCGCCTATATTCTGCAACAATCAGCATAAAAACAAATGTATCAATCGGCGGATAGACACTGAGTAGAGCAATGATACCTCCAGTTTGCATGTTCCATTCGAAATCAAATAAAGGTCCAAGTAGAATTGGCAGCGCTGGTAGCACAAAAAGACAAGTTGGTACCAGAGTTTGGATGATTAATGCTCGGAAAAATTGTTTTTGAAGACGTCGATTCGGAACGGAAAAGTTGCCGAGCTCCTGTTTCATAGCCAGATGCATTCGAATTCCACAGAACATGATAATAAAATATTGGGAGGTTAAAAGGAATCCACCACCAATCATAAAACTGAGGTTTCGCCATCGGAGAGAGTAGTCGGATGTCTGAAAAACAGAAAATACCGTAAAGCCTATATTAGTAGGGCGCCTTTAATTGGAACCCCTCTAATAGAAGTGCGCCCTTCAAAATTCATTGCCTGAAATTAAAATTTTTTAAAGGTCAGCGACAAATATTCCGAAAATTCCACAATTTTACCGAAATTTTTTGAAAATCTCTTTTTTTTTTGCTCAAAAAATACTCAAGTTTTGTGAAAACTGATGAATTTTCTATGAAACCTTGCGGAAAAAATGCCTGAAATAATAGAAGGGCCCTCTCTCACAAAAAGGACCTCGGAGGCGCCTGGGGACAATGGAAGGCCAAGCCCTTCTAATACAGGTTTTACGGTAATAACGCAAGGCGAAAAAACACTTACAAAAGGAACGAAAATGAATCGAGGAGTTGTAGAAATATCCATGTCATAGACATCAAGAAACGTTTCTCTAGAAAAATTTTCGTTGAATGTTTGGGCCCCTGATCATGCCACAGTTAGTGCTACTCACCTCAAATAATCATCCGCAAACTCATCCGGTGCTCCAGCCCACATAAGCAAAGAACTATACATGGCTCCACAGACAAGTGGGTACCCAATCCATCCGATTACTCCAAACCCTCCAAATATTTTTGTGCTATTTGGGTCCACCAGACTCAGGTATCGAAAAATAAATTGCTCGGCGAAAAATACGAGAATGAATAAATAGAAGCCAGCGTAAACGGACACAGAAATTTGGAGAAATAACTCGGAATTCTCCATCCAGGTATTCAAACTGAATAGAATAAACGCTCGATTATAGTTGTGAGTAAATGGTCTAGCAATAAGTTCCCATCCAGCAAATGCAACGCCAGTTTGAGCGAAAACGATGACCATGTATTTATAAGTGCCTCGGATTTGTTTGATATGCCATATAGTGACATAGATTAGGAAAAAGTTGGAAATTGACGCGGTGAAAATTCCAAGTTTGGTGAAAGCATCCGAAAATTCGAAAAATCGAGTCATGAAGAAAATAACAAAATAATAGAAAAGGAAGGAAGAAGCAAAGTCTTATGAGTTAGAAATTATATATTTAGCAGGATATCCGAAAGATCTCATGGGGATCAAAACTTAATTAGCCGTCGAATTTTAGTAATGAACTTTTGAGGACATGTCTAAGAATTGAAAAATCTGACGTCGACTAGTCAAGCGGTTTTTTGGAGAATCCCAAGCGTTCAATGCAGATTTTTTATGGGTAATGTGTTACACCGGAAATGATTATAAGGAAAATGGGAGATTGAAAATTATATGTTTTGAACCAAGAAGAAAATGTTAGAAAATAACAATGTCTAAAGAGAAAATATGATCAAACATGGCGTTTCGGTTTTAGATCATTAAAACAAAAAACAGTCGTTGGGTAATAAAAAAAGGGTTAATCCAAGACAACAGAGAATGAGTCAGTATGAAACTGAATGTAGGACAGACATATTGTTTCTTCCGGGATAACGAATGTAGCCAAACCTTTATTGGTTAATAAAATATCTAAAGATTCTGTTTGTACCAAAGATGCCAAGAATCCCGATTCCGACTTCCGACTTCCTAGTTCAAAGGTTTATTTCCGACTCTCAAATTATGACCTAAACGTTTTTTTAACCGAAATTTGTTGGTTTTCGATCAGCAAAATCAACATTTTTCCGACTAACGACTTTTGAATTCCGAAAAATATAAAGCTTACTTCCGACTTCCGAATTCTACAATTTCACTTCCTGGCAACTCTGGATCGCACGGAGAGGGATTTCTAACATTTCTTTGTCACTTCCGTTTTCCCGGAAGAAACAATGACCTTCGCCTAATTTCGTACTGATTCAATGACTCGCACGTCGTAAGGAATTCCAGTGCATTTGCGAGTACACTATGTATTGTTTTTTCGAGATGTTCCTTTAAAATGATATGTTTCTTGTAATGGATTTATCTAGGGAAATATAGACTCAGTTCTCTCACTTCTAGCTTCAAATGTTTGTCTAGATGATACTAACTACCAATAATATCTGCTCTCCCAAATTATAATGATGCCTTTCTTCCAAGTTTGTGAAAACTTGTCCAGTTTCGGATTCCTCCTGACCATTGTCTCCAACATTTTGCTAATCTATTTCACGATGTTGAAAGTCAAATTCGTCACAAGGACTTATAAGAAAATGATAATTTTGTATGCTCTTTTTGGAATCATCCTAGTCCTGATTGAAATCATCGCCCGACCATTTGCTCATAGTTACAACCGAGCGCTTTTCACTTTCAGCTTGAATAACTGGCTCGTAGGATATGAGTCGCTGCTTTGGTTTTTATTAGCTCTCTTCGTTGGGTTTTACAATGCTATGCTGGCTTTTCTAGCTGTTCAGTTCGTGTTCCGATATCTAGCACTTCTTCAGTCAAAACATGTTAAGAAATTCGAAGGGATTGGTGTACTGGGATGGTTACTGTACCCAGTAATATCAGGTGCAAATTTCAGTACTGTTTACGGCTTGCTGGCCACACCAGATGAATATACGGATGACTATATGAGGTTGGAATAAAAAGTGGAAGATCATTTAAAGTTAGAGGTTTTCAGAGAAGAGCTATTCACAATATATGGATTGAATATCTCCAAAACTGCTCGCTTCATCCTGTTACCATACGTAATATTTTCTTTCTTCTAAAATTCAATTAACCTGTTTTCAGGGAAAAGATAATTCTTTGCGGTCTGGCAGCCTCCTATGCATACTTGTCGATGGTGTTTTATTAACTTCTCAGTATGTAATAATCGTTTCCAGTGGAATTCAAATGTATCTGGTTATGTCCGAAAAAAATAAAACTACTTTCCTACACCAATCAAATCTTACAAAAACAACTTTTCGTAGCGCTCATCTTGCAAACTTTGGTACCTACAGTATTATTTGTGCTACCCGCATTTCCATTATTGTTGCTGCCAATGCTTAATTTCAAAATCAGTATTCCATCCGGTGCCGTGGTCACTCTGTTCAGCTTCTATCCAGCTATTGAGAGTATTGGTTTTATGTGGATTGTCAAAGAGTACCGTAATCTTGTAAAAGGTGAATTCGGAATATATTAATACCGAAATTGAGATAATTTCAAGGATGCTGCTGTGTTCCGAAAACTCATAATCATCAAGCGAGCTCCGTGGTGTTTTGAAAACATATAAGACCTTATTTAGTATATAGACGTATATTTTTGGTCTCTTCGGGATTTTTAGACAGACACTGATGTAATTGTTATTTTTATAAATACTTATTGTTTTGAAAACTAATGAATCCGAAGAACCCGATATTTAACCATAAACCCGATGTAATCTCTCAAGCACATTTTTCAACAATTTGTTTCCTAGAGAATTTGGGTAACTCGTATTAGAAAATGGACCGAATAGTTGCAATTGTTTCCGGTTATTCAGCTCCCATGACTGCATTTGAACATCTCGGTAGTGTCTGAAATTTTGAAGTTTGAAAATGAAAAGGGACCGGATAAACCTGATGTAACCAATAGAAGGGTCCAGAAACACTTCTCGAAATCCTGGGTAGAATTGGACGACTTCATGTACTAGCATTCGAATGACCTGAACAATGTCCTTTAATTCGTATCAGTTTCATTGGATTTTTTGAAGATGTTCGTAGTCTTGGACCTCACAAAAAAATGACCCATACAGAAGATAGACAAAGCTAACTCATAGAATTTGAATGGACAAACTAGAGATTTTGGGCCCTTCAGCCCATACCTTTTCATTGTGCACAATATCCTTTGCCCAGCAGCTCTGTTGTTGTTCCTGACAAACGGGATGCCCTTTCAAAGCGGCACTCGTCGTTTCATGCCATGCACGCGTGGGCAATTTTTCAATTATTTGGAGGTCGTTTTCGAATTTCGATGGAATATGCTCTCGTTTCATGATCCAGCGTTGAGGGAAGGCTATAGAACCGATATCTTTATCGGTGATGGTCCTAAAAATTGCTTGAAATGATTTCATGAATCTGTGTGGCACTGTACCTCATAAACCCGTCGATTGTAACTCTGTCATCCGTCATTATCAATCTCTCATCTAGATCCGCAAATATGGACCATTCGGAATAAGTGCGACTTCTCAATAGACAATCCTTAATTTGAAAGATATTTGATATTTCCCAAAATGATACTTACAGCGACACCCATCAACTGCTGCGCTATCACATCTTTTACGGTGCCCGGTATCTCTATGATTTCCATTTCTCCACTATCCACATAGCTTCTAACTATTCTCCGATCATATTCACTAATTTCTCGAATATAAAAGAAGAATTTGAGGACTCCTTGTAGCTTGTAGTGTTCCACAAGCTCCAAAATATGCAGCCATTTTGGCTCAGCGCCGTACGTTGGAGCAAGGCAGAAGGATACATGGTGTTGGTATTTTTTGAATTTACGAAGAATGAGATTCACCGAGTTGTCTGCACCCAGTAGTTCTGTTTTATTCGAAGTGATTCCCAATTTTTCCGCATTTTTCCTTCTGCTACAGTAAACCACAAAAGATGGATACACTTTGGACTCAACAGGTTCAGCCACCTCTCGATCATTATTGTCAAGGTACCGACAGAATACAGTAGTTCTGAAAACTTTAGATATTGATCTATTTGAAAACATTCGTTGAACTCACCCAACTTTTTTCGGTGTCGCTATTACTGCTGAGAAATGATCCTTATATGCGAAAGCAGATAGAATTTGCATTTTTTGGTTGTGACTTGTCTGATAAATCGGATCTTTAAAAAGCAGAACATTAGTTGCACAGTACCACTCTGCTCATCAAGTCATCCGTCTGAGCAATCAATTTTCGGTAGTATGACATTGCGGATTCGCCTCCAATCACTTCATCATCTCCAGATCTCTCAATTTTGTGGTCAGATGGTGGTCCTAGTGGTGGTTGCAAAGCAGGCGGAATGGGGTCATCAAAAGTAATGTTCAAAAATCGGAATGATTTTTGTTTAGTGTCATCCGAAACCCGTTCTGGAGAGTTTTGCAAGAATGGGATTTGAATAAGCGCTGAAAAAAAGGCTTTCTAGAAAAGTTCTAATTTATTTCTTACCCATGCCATAGTCATACTGATCCTGAATATTACATAAACTTTTTGTAAAGACTAGAAAAAAGAATAATAGGGAGACAAGTGCAAGAAATATGACCACGTTTCTGCTAAGCATAAGTAAATAGCTGAAAAAAACGAATTTACAGAATTGAAAAGCCTCCTAGTTTCAATAAAACCAAAATGTATCTCTCCCTCTGCTTTACACTAGTACTTTACAAGAGAACCAATAAAATTCACCGTTTATGCAAAACCAATAACCCTTTGTCAAAACCTGGTCCTCCTTTTGTCCGCCCTCCTAGGAACCATGAGACTCTGCATTAGCTCAAAATAACCAAACGAAGAAAGATAAATCATCCTAGACATGTTTCTATGTTTTTTAATGCTGAACTTTGTTCGGATGGATGAGATTTTTGATGTAGATTTACGTTTCTTGAGGTTTAGAACAGGAGGAAGAGAGGAGGAGCATGAAACATCGTCGTGTAAATAGGTTGTAAACAAAACAAACATCTTTGGAAAAGGAACAAATAAAATTTCATGTGGTGCTGAATCAGTCAGATACAGTACCGGTCAATATATGTAGAAAAAAATATATGTAAAATATACGTAGATATATGTAGAAAAACGTATTGTTCAGTTGACTTTTGGCCACTTTGGCTATTTTCAGGAGTCTGGAGCTCCTGGAGCTGGGCTGTCAAGTTTTCGATCATTGTGAATATTTTGGAGGTTGTAAAACAGACCTAGATGGAAAACTATGAATTCTCAGAATTTTTGAAAATTCAATTTTTTCAGCTAATTGCCGATTTCTGAAAGACTATCAATCTAAGTCTGTTTCACAATATCCAAAGTTTTCAAAGTGATCGGAGCCTTGACAGCCACTCTCCAGACTGATGAAGATGGTCAAAATGGTCAAAATCATCTAAAAAAATAAGTTTTTGTTCATCTTATTTACCGGATATCGCACGAATCTTGACAAAAATTGAGTAATTTAAAAATTCAAAAAAAAAATTCTAGACTTGAAAACGGAACGCTAGAAGGCTTCAAGTGCACTCATGACTAACTATCACATCATTTGAAAATGAAAGGGTCTTCTTCCGGTTTTTAAAGAGTTTTAAATTCTGGATTAATCTTTTGACCCGTTCCTCCAAAATTACTTTTCTACTAATCCGAATCTGGGAAAAAAACCAACTGCGGAACTAACAATCCATGTATAAACAACTTAACGCCAACGACTATTTCGAAAGAAGAAAAAATTTTGAATTGTAAATTTTGAATTGTAAATTTTGAATTGTAGAGTTTTGAATTTTTCTGGACTCCCCTCTTGGATATGATTTAAACCAATTAGAAAAAAAAACAAATTCATTATTATTAGTAGGTTTTGAGCATAATTTTTTTGGCAAATTGAATTTTTGTAAAAACTATTAACAAGCAATATAACTGGAGAATCCGGATTGTCGACCAATGGACTTTGTTCGAGAGTTGTACTCGAAAACTTGGTTTGAGGTGAATGCGGTGATGACACTTCCGGCAGCTGTAAAAAGTGTATATTGGGACATATACTTGAAAACCTCTATTAGAAAGGCAGACCCTTTTATGCCTTCAAGCTCACTTCGGAGGCCGTTCTACAGGATGAGAGGGCCTTTTTGTTTCACCATACTTTTCTCAAAAAGTCTCTTATTTTCCAAGATACATTCTATATTTACTTATTTAACACCCAAAGAAAATTTTTTCGAAAACAAAGTTTTTTGAAATTTTTTCAAAGATAATTTCATTTTTTGTAAGATTTTACGTTGATCGTTTTTTCAGTTGACAACTTTTTTCTAGCTCATTTTGTTTTTGAGATAAAACCGGTTTTCGTAAACACCGTGAGCCAGCGCATAGACATACAGACACTCTAACTGTCTGCGTCTCTCACTACTGACTGTTTGTATTTTTTTGGTATTTTTGTCAACCTATGTAAAATGCCACGCTGATCATTTTTGCAGTTGACAACTTTTCGCTAGCTTTTTTTTTCAAGATAGACCCATTTTTGAAAAGGGGGCCACCTAACACAGGTTTAACGGTACTTACGAGACTCGACTCCTTTGACACCACGTGGCAAGTTTGGGAAATAAGAGGATATTCTGTTTTTCAAAGTGACCTGATTCCAGAACTCATCGTAGACCGCGAATTCGTCACCACTCTGAAAAAATCTATAGAATTTGAAATTTGTGTATAAGCGACTTACGCTCATCAAAATTTGATGTCCATTAATCCAACGAAGAGCTCCAGACACTGAAAAACCAAGATCGGAGGGAAGCGTTTTGGGGAAGCCACTATCCATTTGGAAAATTTGGCGAATATTTGAGAAATAGTAGCTGTACACCTGAAAATGCGAAGATTATTGTATTACAAAATTTAAAGACGCCTCTCACTCTGTTACTACTGAAAAGCAACATAGATCCAGAGATCGGATTCCACAACGCTGCATTCACTGGAGTTGGTGCAGATGGGAACAAATCGTGAATTGCAGAAACTTTGGTCACTTTGGTCCCACTGATTGTGTATACTTGAGATCCAGAGAACGCATATGAGAATGATGAGCTTGGTGTGTAAGCGTCAATGGAAGATGGACATCTGCCTCCACTGCTTGAACCTCCACGTCCTCCAGAAGACCCGGATCCCCAATCATCTCCGGAGAATGGTGACTGGGTTGTTGGCCACAGAGTTGTCCTTCTCGTAGTTGTACGGGTTCTAACGTCATCATCATCGTCTCCGAAGAATCTGCCAAACCAACTTCTTGTAGTCGTTGTTGGTCGTTGAGTAGTTCTCGTTCCTCCACTGCTTCCTCCAAAATCAGATCCACCTGAAGATCTTCCACTTCCAGCTCCATAGATCGCTTGGATGGCTGAAATATCATCAGACTTCAAGTTCGGATACACATAATTTCCATTCGAATCGGTTGTTTTTTGGTAAAACGGAGCCATAATTGCATTCTCATCCCTGGAGTGCTCCAATCCCAATGTGTGTCCACCTCGTGAATAGCTACGGCCAGCAGGTCCGTTGCTTGATTGCTATGAATTTTTCTAGCATCTTTGTACGTCCAGTTCTCATCGTCGTCGAAGTGGAACATTCCAGATTCTGGCATGGTGGCGTGCGCAAGGACTCCGCCTTCGCCGTCGAATGGCCAAGGATCGTTGTGGTTACGAACGCCAAATCGGATTTTAATATCAGAAGTGCTGCCGGCAGGAACTTCGGAAAACTCGAGAGGAGTCACTTTGGACCAGAGACCATAGGCTTCGGCAATAGCGCGTCTAGAAAAATCGAAATGAAGATATTCAGATGATTAAAATGACTCACCTAACATCTTCCTTTGGTAAATCAGAAGACCAACTTTCAATTGAATATGTCAGACGGTTTTTGGGCCATTTAAATTGGCTAGCTGCAAAAAAATTATTGTTGCTGACAGGAAGGAAAAATATACTTACATCCAGAAGTCAATGCCAATGGTGCATCTGTGACTCCGCATCTCGATAATGTCATTTTCGCTTTAGTCGCTGCATCCAAAATTCCAGTTTTAGCTAGACCAGCAAACTCTTGGAACTTTCGAATCGCTGTTTTGAATACTTGCTCAGCACTCTGAATGTCTCCAGCCATTCCATTTCTGGATTGAAGTGAGTTTGATGGCGGGACATATCCGAAAGTTTGAAGGTAACTCTGAAGAAGAGAGATGATGTCAATGGGAAAGGAAAAGGAAGTGTTGGTGATGTTGTGTCGGCTTGTTATCTTTTGGAAATGATCTATGATTTGAAGAGATTTGATAGTGGTGAATCAAATTTGTGTTTCGATCACTGCTAGAGGTGTTGGTTCGAAGAATACCGTAAATGCTCTAATAGACGCTTACCCTATATGCACTTTGAGCTCAATTATCTCGGCTCCTGTAGGAGATATCAAAAATTTGTCAACTGGCAAAATATTTTTCGTAAAATTGCCAACATATTGTCAAATGACATATTTTGAATATATTCTATAGAAAATGAGATAATTGAGCTGAAAGTCGCAAGTGGTGGATGTCCTTCCGTTACGGTAATTCCCAAGTTATTGGACGAAACCTTCCAGAATGATTTTGATATATTTTTGAATCTGAACTTCAAAAAACCCACTCTAGCTTTCTCATCTGACACTGAAGATTTTCTTTGGTTTGAAGCCGAACTTGAGCTGGAACTAGAAGGTGATGAACTTCCACCTGAAACAAAGCAAATACTCAAAACTTGCACAATTCAAAAAAACTCACCACCTGTGAACCTGGACACTAAAGAGCTAAAAAATCCAGCATAGCAAGTTGCAACTAAACAAATAACTAGCAGAAACAGTATCCGCATATTGTTTTCAGAATACAGAAGGCAGAAAAATAACAAAAAAATAGGAGAAGTGATTAGGAAGTGAAAAGTTTTGTTTCTCTTATTTTTGACAGGTAGTGGTCAATTAAGAGAGAGAGAGAAGAGAATTAGAGAAATTCGGTTGATTTTGATTTTGGTTCTGTTTCTTCAACCCCGACGTCTTTTTCTATTTTCTTCTCACCCCCAAAAAAAGATTGATAGGTTAGAATAGGGGGTTTTTGTCAATAGACAGACACACACACAGACACGTAAGAAGAATTGATAAACATTTTTATATTTTATGTGTGACATATGGGATTCGGGCAATTCAAACGGAAGTTGTAAATGTGTGAAAATAGAAACAGGTGTTAGTCATCGAGTACAGGAATACGGTTGTAAGAAAATATTTTTTTTTGGATAAGATCAAATTTGGATCAAACCGATAGTGGTGATTGGTGTCAATTTTTTTCCGGAAACGAAATAATTAGGGTCAAACGGGACAATCCTTTCATGGGGTTCACAGATTTGAAAATTACAAATTCAAGTATTATTTAAACGTGATGAAAAAATAATATTTTCGAATTCAAGAAATCAACGTTTCAAAAAAAAAGTTTTCAATTATAAAACCAAAAAAGCTACGTGCATTTTTATAGTAACCCAATGACCCTTGATGGCCCATTGACCTGAGGAGAAGGCTATAAAGGAAGAGAAAAGTGAAGAGAAGAATCAGTTCTCGTCTTCTCGGGGCTCCAGATAAGGGACCCGAGAAGGAGCTCCGGCTGGAGCTTGGGCCAAAGGCCTGGGCCAAGGGCCTGGGCCAAGGGCCTGGGCCAAGGGCCTGGGCCAAGAGCCTGGGCCAAGGGCCTGGGCCAAGGGCCTGGGCCAAAGGCCTGGGCCAAAGGCCTGGGCCAAAGGCCTGGGCCAAAGGCCTGGGCCAAAGGCCTGGGCCAAAGGCCTGGGCCAAAGGCCTGGGCCAAAGGCCTGGGCCAATGGCCTTGGACAAAGGCCTGGGCCAAAGACAGGGGCCAAAGGCCTGGGCCAAAGGCCTGGGCCAAAGGCCTGGGCCAAAGGCCTGGGCCAAAAGCCTGGGCCAAAGGCCTGGGCCAAAAGCCTGGGCCAAAGGCCTGGGCCAAAAGCCTGGGCCAAAGGCCTGGGCCAAAGGCCTGGGCCAAAGGCCTGGACCAACGGGCTGGGCCAACGGGCTGGGCCAAAGGCCTGGACCAAAGGCCTGGACCAATTGACCTTATCATTCTTGTTTGAAACTAGATTTAAATAAATGATAAATTGTTTTCTAAGCGTTCTTTGTATTTTTAAAGGAGATGTCAAAAAAATGTTCAACTGATGAAATTTATCTCGTACTATGGTGAGCCCTTTTCTCGTGCGGATTAGTACCAACTACTACTTATATTGACTTTTTTGGAGCTTTTTTTAGATGAGGTGGCTGCAGCCAAGACAACAAAAAACAGTAATTGGGAACGCTCATTTTATTCAAAAAAACACAATCAATTGGAAGAATGGATCTTATTTCTTCATGTCGAATTTCTCGAACATCTCATCAATGGTGTAGCAGTATCCATTGTAGCAGACGGATTGGTAGTCGCACTGTTTGCTCGATTGGAAGCGTCTTCCAGCCTCGGCGATTGGAGCAGCGATGGCAAGAAGGACGAGAAGGAGAAGGCCAAGAATATTCATAGTTGGTTGAGAGAAGATTGGAAAAGTCGAAATTTCCGATGATTTTTGGGAAACTTCGAACGGTTTATATAAGTTTCTGGAAGGGGGAGAGAAGACTGAAAACAAATAAAAATTACCATAATGCATTGCAATGTGGGAGTTTCTTTTGTTTTTTTCATGGGTTTCTTGATAAACTGTATTATGGTGATCAGAAACCGTTTATGATGGAGAGAGAATCAATGTATCGAAGCTCCCCAAATTGAGACTAGGAAGAGACTTATCTGGATCTTTGGAATGTTCTGTGGATGTCTTCGGCACCTTTGAGCTCAATTATCTCGGTTCCTTTGAGAGATATTAAAAACCTGTCAACTAATAAAACACTGATGATATTTTGATAAACAATTTATCAGTTGAAAGTTTTTGATTTCTTTTGAAGGAGCCGAGATAATTGAGCTCAAAGTGCACATATACATCGGTGGTCTTCTTTTAGAGCAATTACTGTGTGTCTTGTAGTTTTAAAGTTTTTTCTTTCTTTTTTTTCATATGATTTGTACTTTCAGCCTCAATTAAATTTATCGCACGAGGGCTAGAAATGAGAAAATTTCTCAAAAAGATCCCAAGATCACAATCTAGGAAAATAAATACTTTATCGAAAATACAAGAAAAAATGAATAGATGAATTCAATTAGGCCAGCGACTTCATCTCCGGAACATCTGAAACTGTGGCCTTGACCTTGAAAGCTTTCCGAATCTGAGTGTGAATTTCCAGGCACCGAATCGTGCATGGAAGGAGGAAGATGTCAGTGACCACAATACTAGACATCATCTAAAATGTTTCAGTGAATTCCAGAAGCTTAAATCCGCTAACTTACAGCTTCATCACTAGCTCCGTAATAAGTGAACGTGACGATGTTGATCATGATTGCCTGGAATGTCTTGTAATTATTTCAGAAAAATGTCTTGAGTAATTACCAGTTTGACAGCAGCGAGGATCTGAACTTGAGTGATAATCTTTTTCTCGGAAGTCTTCAGTTTGCTCCATGATACCTTCTCGGGCAAGTACTTGACAAAAACAGCCACCCCAAGAAGTGGTAAGGCTGCTCCATGGAAGGCCTGAACCATTGCCGTCTAAGAATGTTGTAAAAGTCGCTCACCATATAATATGGAAGCAGTTGAACAGCGTGATAATGGAGTATGAGCGTTGGCAATGATGGATAACCGAGATGCATGAAGAGGAAAGAAAAGACGGAAGCCTCCTTGAGAAGTACGATACAAGAGACGATTTGGAAAACGGTGAGTATACGTTGCCTAACAGCCTTTTTGTTGCGTTTTCCAGGAGCTATCTGGATTAATATTGCGATCACAACCATGCTGGTTGTAAGCACAGATGAGAAATATTCCGTCAGAATAAATGTGAAACTAGCGAACACTTGGAAAGTGAGAGTCAGAATGTAGTCGTCCTGGTAAGTAGAGAGCTTGTAGAGACAGTACATTGCTTGGAACAAATTCAGAAACATCTCGGTGAGAAGGTAAATCCTTGTCATGAGAGAACGTCTTGCGAACGAGCGATGCTAAAACTTCAAAATTTAGAAACCTGGCGCAGAAGATACAAACCAACCTTTGCTTTCCGAAACTGAGGTACAAGCGACAGCCCCTCGTGGATTAGGAATACAGTGCTGAATAGCAACAGGCCGCAGAGGATCCATTCATTGAAGAAGTCAACGTCCCCATCTCTAGGTGGTTCCGGGACCCTGGCGATGAACGAAACGTTCGCACACATTTTGAAGCTAACAGAAGCCAAAATGAAGAATGAAATGAAGACGAAGGAGATGGCAAGGAGCGGAGCGGTAACCTAGGTAACTCTTTCTCGGACACTTCTCAATTTCAAACACTCTCTCGAGAAGGCAGAATTTTTCTTTATAATTTGGTCGTGAAAACAAGGAGAAGAATAAAGCATAGGAGGAGCACACTAGCATAAGGCAGAACTCTAGTATCGTTGGTGAAAGCTGGTACCACGAGCGATCTCATTTGATGCTCGTTTCCAACGAAATGAAGATGTCTCTATACTTTATGTACTATTTAATCAAGGATGTTTTTCGGGAAATCACAAGAATTTCAAAACCGAATGGCACTACATCAGAAAAGTACTTCTTGGAATGGGATAAAACCGCCTGGTGAAGGGTGTGGATTCTGATGGACAGGATATACTTGAAATAGAAAAGGAAAACCCTAAAGTGGAAATTCCAGGTCCGAAACTTCGAGGAACCAAAAACTATTGTCACTGGGCGGAATTTGAGCATATCATTTTCATCCAGAAAAGTCAAATCCCAACCTTACAAGGTAATTTTATCCAGATGTACCAAACCTCCATTAATCGGAAAATCCAAAAAATGACATTATTGGTCTTGAACTTTGAAGGACCGAACATTAATGTAACTAAACGAAATTTGATAAGGTTTTTTGCTAATATGATTAAGCAAATATATTTCATCCTGTAAATTATTATCTAATTTTTTTTAAATCTTAAATTTTTGAGGGACCAAAAATTATTAGTCCTGAACGAAATTAGACGAGGTTTTTTGTTACTATCACCGAACAGCCCATTTTCAGCCATAAAAAACATTTCCTTCAGAACCATTTAATTCATTATTTTCAAGCCTACATTTATAGAAAATTCCTAGAATTGACATTTTTGATTTTCAACACCGAGGGACCGAATACTGTATTGTTCCTGGATGATAAAGCCGGCATTGAAATCCAGATCTTATTAGATGTGGTTTTCCTAGATAGATTCGTGAATCGTTTAATTGTCGCTGACTAATTAAACTAATTAGATTTAGAACGAGTTCCCTGGATTTCAGATAACGAGCAATTTCCCCAAAGCTCCACGTGGTAGAACCTGTCTCTAGCTTGCTCACTTCCCTCTCTCTTTCTGCAACAATTTTTAGTGACAAGTGCACCTCCCTACTCGCTGTTGTCTTTTGATGACAGTCATTGCGACCACACACGTGGGGTCTCCGTCCCTCTCTTTCACTTTCTTTCTGTCTGTTTGTTGGTCGAGAGATACACACATTTTAGACACCCCGCGAGGAGGGACAAGGAATCGACAGACCACGCCCCCAAAGGGCGAAGGTCGCTTTCTGAGAGACTCGCGAAAGAGTGCATAGGTGGAAGAGACTGAGAGAATCCGTTGGAGGAAAAAGAAGGAATAGTAGTCTAGTTGATCGGATGAAATTAGAGAAGAGCGTGTCGCTAGAAGTTCAGATGAGAACTTGGGAAAAAAGTGTAAAAGAAGATAGATAAGAGGAAGTGCAGGTTCGAAAGGTCAACTTGGAAATAGTAATGGGGTACTGTAGGTTCTGTAAATATACATAAAATTACCAGTCTTTTTATAAGGTCCATCCAGAGCAGATACTACAGCTCGATGCATATTCGAAGTGACTCATGTATTCTGGATGGTTTTTTTTTCAACTGCAAAAATAAAGCGTTTTTTAGAAAAACCGAGTTTTAAGCATTGATATTTTATCTGAAAAAGAGCTTAACTAGTCGGGCCATTCTGGAATTTCAAAAGAAATCCCGATATTCTTTTTGTGGAAATCTATAACTGAAAAACATGTTTTTGTGATTCTTATTGACCAGTATCGTATTCCTGTACCCCAGTACTCCTGTGCTACGCAGCAACTACACGCGGCTTAATTCTGCCGGATAAATTCTGAAGTTGTCAACCCTAAAAACTATATACTAATTTTGTATTCTATAGTCCGTTTCAGGACAGTCTGAACAAATTACTGTCAACTAGTAAACTGTTTTTCTTTGGAAGATTTGAACAGAAATGGCAGAATCCCAAAATGCGACCTTCGACCCTTTGTCACCTTAGGCATTCATCTCACCATCTGCTCATTTTCCCTTTGAAATAGTGCACCCCCACCCCAACCTTCTTCTTCTGTGTTCATCTTCCCCTCTCCTCAAGCCTGTTTTCCGATCGCCCTTTGGACTCTGGGGGCGGAGTCTCCTTCTAACATCTTCCTAAGACACTCTTATGTCATAAATACGTCATCTCCAGATCTCTTCGATTCTTCTCACCGATTCAAGGATCATGTTTATTGTTGACAATACATATTTTTGATTTCCAACCAACAAGACTGCTGAAAATTGGTCAAAATAGGAAAAATTTAAAAATAACACCAATCAGCAAAGCGGTCGGCGGGGCAAAGGTGGACACTTTGGGCAGCGACCTTTCGACTTTTGCATAGAATTCAAAAGTGAATCAAACGAAATTTATCAGTAGACATTTTATGTGGAAAGTGAAAATTTGTTTGTTGTAAATCACAAGAGACAGTAAAAATGTGTTGATTGGTCAGGAATCTTGTTGCTTACCTTTTTGGGAAGCACGTGGTGGTTAAGAAAAGCACAATGACGTCGATATGGGTTATGGTATCTTGTAGAAATAGTGGAGCAAAAAGGAATGCACAAGTTTATTCGAAAAGAGTCGGCTCCTATCATTTTAGTTCCCAAGGCTGTTGGAAACATGGCAGCCTTACGGTTCTTCTCGGATGGATAAGATTCGGCGGCCTAGAAGTTTCTGATTAGCTAATTTTTACAGCTTTCTAACTATCCGAACAAACGGACGGTCCACGGCAATCTACCTACAGAGCTAGCCGCGACCGTCTGCGGCCCTGTTACCGACATCCTTGTTGCCAACCAACCAGTGCCTTCTTCCTAAGTTTGCTTTGACGTTACATAATTCTATTCCAGGAAGAGGCATCGGAAAGTTATCAACAACAAATATGTGTGGAATATTGTGAATAATGACATTTTTTAGTTGACAACTTTTTAATATGTCTTATGAGAACCGAGATAATCAACGGTAAAGCAACCTAAGCTACTCCGGTTTATCCCGCCGTTTCGGTTATCTTGGTTCCTAATTAAGATCCTAAAAGTCGACACATATTACGGAGGGTACAAAAATTTTTGGAGTCATTTGGGTACAGAGCAATTTAGGGGTAAAAAATGCTTGGAAATTTTGTACCCCTAAATCACTTTGTACCCCCTTGTGCCCCCGAATAGTTGTACCCTCCGAATTATATGCCTTAAAGGTATGTTTCGAATCTAAGAGTTTTTTTACGAATTCGAAAGTTGCCTGCATTTTCTGAGCAATCTCCAGCAACCCTTGCAGGCAGTCTTTTGCCGATTCCATACAATATTTGAACCCCCCCCCCCCCTTTCGGTTTAATCAAAATTTTTCAAACTTTCAAAAACCAAAAATCTGCTTCAAACTTTTTAGTATATAAATATGCCAGCTGATTCCTGGAGGACCTAGAAAAAGAGCCGTCCCAAAAAAACCACTCTTGTTTTTTCAGCTATTTTTCATGTCTCCTTTTTCAGGAAGCTAAAACTGCGCCGAGACATTTTTTCAGCCGTTTTTTTCATGTCTCTTGCTGGAATCTTTGTTTTCCCCAAGAAACAACAACAACTCTTCCCCACTATAATTTTCGAAAGCCGGCCCTCTTTTTTCTCTGCGTCTCTCTATCTCCCCATGCTCTCTAGATCTTCCTCTACGTCTCTATCCCCTCGGGAGAGGACTCTGGCATGTCTAACAAGTGGACTTCGACCCCGAGGGGGCGTGGTCTGGGTTCCGATCGCACTAATACGACTGAGGGTGGAAGAAGGCGAGGAGAAGAATTCTCACTTGAAGTCCCGTATGGGGATGTGGGACAGTTTTTTAGGTTGACCTACTTTTCCCTCCTATTTTTGTTGGTTTTCCTGTATGGATTACTGTAGAAGACATTACCCTAGAAAAATACTATGTTTTTCTGCATTTTACTGAAAGTCCATCTGAAGGAAATAATTAAGTACTCCTTTAGTGATTGTATATCTTTTGGACAAAATTTTTAAAGATTCAATAAAAAATGTAATATTTCCTTTTTTATTCCAGCAACTGTATCAGAAGCCGGCCTTATACGTACACTTCGGGGTCAATTATCTCGGTTCCTATGAAAGATATAGGAATTCTGTCAACTGATAAAGTATTTCTGATATTATGATAAAAATTTGCTAGTTGAGTACTTTTTGATATCTCGCACAGGGAGCGAGATAAATTTGCTCAAAATTGACAGTCATATGGCCCCTCTATTACAGGTTTTACGGTATTTTGTAAACTTCCCTCCCCGAGTAAAGATTGACTTATTTAATGCTTGTTTAGTTCATTTTTGTTTGTCGGTAGTGAATACCGTACAACCCAAAATAAGAGGTCCACTAAACTATATTCAAGTGCAACTGATAAAAATTGTGTGTCCGGTCTTATCATCTTTATCATTTTTGCCATGCGTGCCATGAAAGTGAAACTGATCTTTTTAATCTAATCAGTGGAAGCAAAAAAAGTTGCCAAAATTGAGATTTTTCAGATGGCAAAAACTACACGTCCAGTGCCACTGGACAGACTAATCCGTCAGAATGCGAGATACTATGCTAAACAATTGGAATACGCACTTTTCCCAGTGCTCACTAAAGAGATTTTGTTCTTCTTGACACTGTGGACGGTACTGGATGCTTTGGAATTGAACTTCATGAATCTGACACCAAAGATGATTGAGAATTTCGCATTTGCAGTAATTGGGTAAGTGGACATACAGACACACAGATAGATAATGCATTGGTTGAATTTTAAGATCTTAAAGATATCGTGTATAGGTTTTAAGCTTGGAAATTACACATTCTCAATATAAATTAACAAAAATTTTCAATTTCCAGAAAATCGCTCCTCGCCCAAACCTTCCTTTCTCTTCTCCTCGGCACCATCACTGCACTTGCCATAACTACAGTAATTCGTTGCTCATTGACTCTGATGCTCTACTACAACGGCTGGTTATTCGAGGAAATTGGCAAGGAGCCAAGCTTGGCTACAAAAATTTTCATGGTCACCCTCGGATTCATTTCGAAGAGAGCCACGTTCTTCGCCTATCAAGGGATCCTTCCATGGCTGCTGCCACCAAAAGTTGAGGATACAGTTGCCAAATATTTGGTGACTATGAAACCGATTCTGTCGGAGAAGGAGTACGAGGAGATGGCTGAACAAGCGGAAGAATTCAAGAGTACTGTAGCTTCAGGACTTCAGAATAAGCTTTGGATGAAATGGGCAGTCTCGAAGAATTATGTAAGTTTATATGGGCCAGAAAAACAATGTTAAACTTTAAAGATTATTTTGAAAATATCAGAAAACACTAAACAAAAATAGAGAACTAAATTTTTTCCATGTTCCCAATTTGTGAGTTTGGAAAATCCTTGATTTCCAGCTCTCCGATTGGTGGAAGGAAGTTGTCTACATGCGTTATCGTGACTCTCTTATCCGTACCAACGTCGGATGCGCTGACGTCATCTACCAAAAGACCACTTCTAACCAAGCCGCCCGTGCTGCCTATGTCACTCTCAACCGTCAGCATTTCTGTAATGACATCTTCAAATCAGAAAAAATGAAGCCAGTGTCTCTAGGAGGAATTCCATTGTGCGCTCAACAATACGCTGAGTACTACCGTACTCTTCGGATTCCAAGCGAGACCAGCGACAAAATGATTAGACTCCCGGATGCTAAGCACATTGCTGTTTACCACAAAGGATGCTGGTACAAAATCGACATCTTCCATGGCAAACGAATGATCAAGGCTTCGGAATTGGAGAAGAGTTTCCAGATGATTCTCGATTCAAAGGATCACAAATCTCAATCTGGAGAAAAGTACTTGTCAGCGATGACTATTGGACCGAGAGATCTATGGGCAAGGATCAGAAACGAGAAATTCTTCAAGGGCGGAGTCAATCAGGAATCGTTGACTTTTATTGAGAACTCGTTGGAAATTGTGTTTTTGGATGAGGAGGAGAGATTCTTCGATGAGAATGATTCGAAGAAATATGGAAGAGAGTACGCTAGAGCGCTTCATGGTGATGGATACATGTTGTGGTGTGATAAGCCAAGCGTCTACATTTTCAGTAAAAATGGAAGGGTGAGTGGGATTACTGTGTCTGTAGCTTCATTCATCTAGGAGATGTTTTTATACATCCATTTAGCCAAGTTATGCCACGCGGAAGCTGAACATGAACTCTAATAGAAGCTCAGGCAAACTTTTAACTTTGAGCCAATTTATCTCGGTACCTATTAGGGATATCAAAAATTTGTCAACTAGTAAAATATTGGTGATACTATGACAAACAATTTATCAGAAGAAAAATTTTTGATATCTCTTACAGGTACTAAGATAATTGAGTTTAAAGTACGCGTTTAAGAGCAAATAGGATAAGAGTTTAGCTCACTTTTACGCGGCACATCTCTTGGGTATCTATAAGAAAATATGCCAATTCTAACTACCTAACTATTCCTAAATCATCCCAAAAAATGATTTCCTTGTTTTTCAGTTCTCTTCGAACGCCGAGCACTCACCATGCGATGCAATGATCTATGTCCAAGTCCGTGAATACATCAAGTACCACGAAGAATTTGAACACCCCTATGGACCAGATGGACACTGTGTTGGATCCATTGAACACGTGCCACATCCCGAAAGACTTTGCTGGGATATGGATCAGGAGACATTGGACGCCATCGACGAGGCCTACAAGACATCGAAACACGTGGCAGAAGACTTTAGCAATGCGAACGTGGTGTTCACAGAATACGGAAAGGATTTCATGAAGAAGGCTCGTGTGTCTCCAGATGCCTATATTCAGATGGCTCTACAAATGGCATATTTTAAGGATCAAGGGAAATTCGAACAGACTTATGAGCCAGCTGTCATGCGGTTATTCAAGGAGGGAAGGACTGAAACAGTAAGATCATGTTCGATTTGGTCTTGTGACTTTGTGAGGACAATGTTGAAAAAGGATGTAGACTCGAAGAAGAAATTGGAGAAGTTGAAGGAAGCATGTGATCATCATCAGGATTATTATAGAACTGCTATGGCTGGAAAGTGAGTTTTTAAAACAGAGTCTTTTTCAAATTCGCAAATTTTGAATTTTTCAGAGGAGTCGACCGTCACCTCTTCGCTCTTTACGTCGTCGCGCGCTACTTGGAAATCAAAGTTCCATTCCTTGACAACGTCTTCAAGCGAAACTGGTCACTGTCCACTAGCCAAACCCCACAACATCAGATGGTCGAGTATGCAAAAGCGCTGAATAAAGAGCCCTCACTATTCTGGCCTGCTGGAGGATTCGCTTGCCCTGATGGATCCAATTATGGTGTTTGCTACACTATCGGAACCACTGGCGACCGAATGAGCTTCCATGTGACAACGTGGAATTCGATGGAGAACACGGATGCCGATCGATTCTTGAAGCATATTCTGGAGAGTTTGAGAGAGATTCGAGAGGTTGTCGAGGAAGCGACGAGGGTGTAAAAATGAAACCGGATTAAGAATCAAAGAATGGGTTGTATTTCTTGTTATGTTTGTACAAATTGTATTTTTCTCAATTTTTGAAAAATAAACTGTAATCTTTGTATTCAAATCGACTCGTAATACATCAAAACAATGTTTTTTGTCTAACTTCGTGTGAATGCGCTCAAACGCGAATCACCGTAATACTACAGTAAAATTAGTGTTGGTCTCGACTAGAGTGCCGAGTCGACTCGAAAATCGATGATTTTTGTCGACTTTGAAAATCGACACAGTCGACATTCAACAATTCGAAAAGGCTATTTGTCGATGAAAATAGAACTTCTCGTTGTCGATTTTTTGTCGATTCTTGTCGATTTTGAGTCGATTCAAAATCGACAAAAATCGACTTTTGTCGGTTTTCACTTTCATCGAGTTTCGAAAAGTCGATTTTCTGTCGAATTTTTGAATGACGACTTTGATCGAGTCGACGAAATCGACACCGATTTTCGTCGATTTTTGTCGATTGTCAACAATCGACACAGCACACTAGTCTCGACGCGAAAGCTTCAAATTGAACTGCCGAGTTTAAGGTTTTGTGTTTTATCAGCACAATAAAAATTTTGCTCGCAGGTATCGAGCTGAATTACTTTTTTAAAAAATCATTTCTTGTTTTCGAAATCTTTTTGTCAATTTTTTATCAATTATTGGCGTTTTTGTGATGGTAAAATCAAATTTCTACTTCAAAGTCTGAATGCTAAACATTCCGAATTTTTCAAAATTGCAAAATTCAGAAATTCCAAAAATTACAAAATCGGAATTTTCCACATCCCGAAAAATTCCGAAATGGCCATTATGAACACCTCTAGTCTGAATTCCAACGAGAAAATACGAAAAAAAAATTATTTTTAAAAAAAGATCCGGAAGAAATCTTGAATTTAATTCAAATCAAATCATAAATACACCGAAAAATTGAAAGAAATTGTGATCTATAATTCATCCAAAACATCCGCTTGACGGTATTCTTGAAATTCCACGTTTTGATGCTCCTCGAAGAACACTGGTTCTGGCTGGAAGAGAAAAAAATTTTTGCATTTTTAGGCCTTCTTTTTTCAATTACCTCAAATTCCGGACCGGGTTCTTCTTCGATAGTTTCTGGTTCCGTTGCAGTGCTTACCAGGTCACTGAAAATTGAAAAATTTTCTCATTTTTCAGAGGTTTCACAGGGTTCGAACTGATGTGGTATGCTGTTGCGCTTTATTGAGAGAGTCGCGAAGTTTTGAGTCGTTAGAAATTTGAACTTCTCGCAATTGTTGTTAAACCTCAAAGTTAATTTTTCAAGGGCTTTAAACTTCACCACGTCATCTTCTCATTTGGAGCGCAACAGCATACTACATTAGCTCCAACCCTGTGGAAAATGAACGAAGGAAAGATGCAAAAAGAAACTTACACATCATGACGAATACATCTCGGAAGTTGAGCTCGTTGAGCTCGAAACTTGACTAATTGCACCTTTTCGATCATTTTCAGCCCCTCGTTCAGGCGTTCTCTTGAAAACGAAATTCCATCGGTATCTGTAGTTTTCGCGTTCATCATGCACTCCATGTACTCGCTTTCTTTTTCGAAATCCGTTATTTTCATGATCGGAAACCCATTTGGCGCCGGATCATGATAACACGTGGCATGATGTCTGCCTTCAGCCTCGGTATGAAATGCCAAATGCTTGCAGCCTGCGCATCGATACGGGCGGTACATAACATGATAGCGAAGGATGTGATATTCGTAGGAAGCCCATGTTAAAAATGCCAATGAGCAAAAGTCACAGACAGGTCTCGGAACGTCTTCTGGTAGCACTTCTCCATAGGCGTCTGGGTTGAATACAGAGTATGCGGATTCTGGAGATGATGGGTGGGGACGCTTTCTGCTTGCTGAAAAATTAATTGAAATTTTTTAAATTATGATTCTATGTTAAATATTCACTTTTGACTTCAGAATCCTGCTGAGATGTTGACTGAATCGATTCCTGAAAAAATAGTATTGTCTGGCTTCTTTCTATTTTCTTACTATTGGTATTAAATACTCTTCGTCTTCCACTTCTACATCCTGCTCTTCCGGAAGATGATCTTCCATTATTTTCTGACTGAAAAATTAACAAAAAATTTTTAAGAGAAGGGAGTGTGCGGAACAAGGAGACGCAGAGAGAATGTCGTATGATGTGGTGTGGTGTCTGCAAACACATCGCATTGCGGACTTTCCGAATTTTGATTTTTATTGGTTTTCCCTTTTTTGACTGACAGTTTTCAGTGATTTTTTAAAGGTTTTCAATAGTTTTCGCAATGAAAAGAATTGTTTAAAATCAAAATAACTTTATTATGTTCATTAAAAAATTACAAGAAATTCGCCGAAAATTCGGAGAATGTCTAACTTAAGATACGTCCTACTTTATTGAGTTTCTTGTTCAACCTTGTTTCAATTCAATCGATTTTTTATTTTCAGATGTCCGGTGGTGAGGACTATAACTCTGATGATGACCAAACCGCCTTGAGTAAGAAAGAGCTCCAGGAGCTGAAGCGAAAGCAACAGAAGAGTAAAAAGAAGAAAGAGTCGAAGAAAAGGGCTAAAGCCACAAAACAACAAGAAGATACGAAAGATAATCAAGAAGAAATAAAGGTAGAAGAGGAGGGACAGCAGGCGGCAGATCTGGGAGTCGATGTTGAATATGTGGGCGAGACGATTGAAATTGGCCCAGATCATCCGGATGCGGCGTATTTCGCGGCAGTTTTTGATGCTTTCAAGGTAAAAAATGAACGTTTTTTAAAGTTAGTAATTTTTAATTTTCAGATCTCCACCGACTCAGAAGATGGTGGATCATATAGTCACCACGTATCCAAAGGAGAAAAGAAAGAGGACCTGGGAAGAGTTGGACAAGCCGAACGAATTCTTCAAGAAGAGATGGAGGAGCGTGCCAAGGAAAACACAGATGAAAAGTTGTCACGTCGCAAGCTTCGAATCTCTCTCCAACCAAGCATCGCCAAGCTCAAGGAGACCACTTACCGAGCGGATGTTGTCGAGTGGGCAGATGTCACTTCCAGAGATCCCTACCTTTTGGTGGCTCTCAAATCGTATAGAAATACGGTGACAGTGCCACGTCATTGGAATGCCAAACGGAAGTACTTGGCAGGAAAGAGAGGATTCGAGCGTCCGCCGTTCGAGTTGCCAGACTTTATCAAGAGAACTGGTATTCAGGATATGAGAGAGGCACTTTTGGAGAAGGAAGAAAATCAGAGCTTAAAGTCGAAAATGAGAGAGCGTGCTCGTCCGAAGCTGGGAAAGATTGATATCGACTATCAGAAGCTGCACGACGCCTTTTTCAAGTGGCAAACAAAACCAACGATGACCAAAATGGGCGAGCTGTACTACGAGGGAAAGGAAATGGAGGCTATGATGAGGGATAAGAAGCCAGGAGAGATGTCGGACGAGTTGAGAATTGCTCTTGGAATGCCAATAGGATCGAATGCATTCAAATTTCCACCACCATGGCTTATTGCTATGCAACGTTATGGTCCACCACCAAGCTTCCCACATATCAAGATTCCGGGACTCAATGCGCCGATTCCAGGTTTGTAAAGACTAAAAAAGTTTTATAACTGATGTTTCTAAATGTTCCTTTATTTTCAGAAGGATGCGCATTCGGATATCACGCAGGAGGCTGGGGAAAACCACCAGTCGATGAGTATGGTCATCCACTCTACGGAGACGTTTTCGGTCTCGCTGCACCAGCATTCGAACCAGAAGACGAGTCTCAAATCGAGCGTCGCTACTGGGGAGAAATCGGGTCAGACGAGAGCAGTGACGAGGAAGAGTCTGAGGAGGAGGAAGATATGGATGAGGATGACGATGGTGACATGGCAGGTGGATTCCAGACACCAGCTCCAGCAGAGGGAATGGTTACTCCATCTGGAATGACCACCGGAATCACTGGAATCGAGACTCCGGACACTATTGAGTTGAGAAAAGGAAAAGAGAGTTCGGTGCTCGGTACGGATACTCCAGCAGCCGCCTATCATATTATTCCGGAGAAGAAAAATGAGAGAATCGGTGGACAGATGATGGCATCCACTCACACTTATGATCTCTCGAAGAAACATGCGGTTCGTGATGATGGTGTTCAGATCTCGTTGGATCCAGAGTCAATCGATATGGATGAGCAAGGACTGGCGGCACGGTATGAGGAGCAGTTGAGAAAGCAGAAGCATCGGGATGATGATGATGAGGAGAGGGAGGATCTGACAGATATGGTCGCCGAGCATGCAGCCAAGCAAAATGTAAGTGTTTTTTAAAATCTATCTCTTCCCTTACTATTATGATGTTGCAAAAAAAATCGAAGCTGTGGAAGAGAAATGTCGGAGGGCCTACAACGACAACTACCGTAACCTAAAAATACTTTTTTTCCCGATTTTTTTCTCGATGCTCGTATTATTTTCTCGATATTTCGGAGAGAAGTAACAGAAAACGGGACGAAAATTAGTAAAAAACGAAAAAAAAATCCTGAAAAAATTATTTTGGGTTACGGTAGTTGTCATGGCGAGACCAGAATAATACTAATAGATTCTCATTCTCAATTTTCCAGAGAAAGCGAAAGGTGCAAGACGACAAGAAGAACAAGCAATCGTCGTCGTCGTCCTCATCATCCAGTGGAAAGAAGCACAAGGATTTCAAATTCTAAATTTTTTTCTCTTTTTTTTCCATTTTCCAGTTTTCACCTATTTATTCTTCCCCCTTTCAATTTTATTTTTTATTGGAATCTAAAATCTAAAACTTTTTTTCAAAAAATCATCTGTAAATTATATTTCTCTTTCTAAATCTTCATTGAAACACGAAAAATTCAAAAAAAAATCAATTTTAAGCCCTTCCCAACGTCTTCACCATCCTCGTTTTTCTCCACAACTTTTCGCTCTTTCTCCTCGAAACTCCACTCATTTTTCGGATGGGCTTTCTTCGGATCTGGGTCAAAAAACTGGGGAAATCTGCTGTTTTAGGAGCGTCACGAATTACAGCGAGATCGTTTGAGCGAAATGGTAGAAATTCTGCTGGAGTTCCAGCTGGAGTGGAAGCTGATGACGTGGATGTGGCAGAAGACGTGGTGGTGGTGGTGGTGGATGGCGTTGTTGTTGTAGTCGTTGTAGTCGTTGGTTTGATGACTTCTCCAGTGCCTTGTAGTAGACCGAATATGTAGTCTGAAATCAGTCAATTCTACGTGGAATTTTTGAATTGTAAGGTTCCGAATAAAAACTACAGTAGCCTAAAAACATGTCGATTTTTCTTGATTTTTCACAGAAAGAAGTCAGAAATTATGCATTTTCTGTATGGAAACACAATTGTCTGAACATATACAAAAATCCGTTTAGAAATCCAAAAATACAATTCTCGGGTTACTGTAGTTCCCGCAATCTACAGGTCCCAAAACGAAAACTACCGTAACTTGAAAATAATTTTGATTTTCGGATTTTTAAAATTTCGTCCATTTTCCGGAGATTTCTCCCGCCGAACTAGCCAGAAGATGGCATTTTCATTGGGAACAAAAAAAAACTCAAAAACTGCAAAATTTTTTGGGTTACTGTAGATTTAACAATCCAATCTTTGGTCTCCAGGTCTCGAAACGAAAACTACTGTAACCTTATTTTTTTGAAAATTATTTTTTTCGGATGTTGCTCGATTTTTAAAAATAATTTTCAGTGATTTCTCCTTCCGAACTAGTCGAAAAATGACATTTTTAAAGGAATGAAACTGCCTGAAAATCCACGACAAATATTTTTGGGTTACTGTAGTTTTCGTTTTGGGACCTTTTATTCCAGAGCCTACTCACCAGCCATTTTCTTAATCAAATGATCGGGGATCTTGCCACTCATGATTGAGACGGGCGGCTTTTTCGTTAGCGTCAAATTCAAATTTGGATACATTTCCAAAATTTGGTCATCTGTCAGAATGACCTCTTGTACCGTATTCTGAAAAATCGGAGGATCGGATATACCGTATTACCCCCAATAGAAGCCCATTCAAACAGTCAACTTCGAGCCAATTTTACTCGATTGCTGTGAAAGATATCAAAAACTTGTTAACTGGTAAAGTGTTCATCATAATTCCACCAGTATTTTATCAGTTGGCAAATTTTTGGCATCTTTCACTGGAATCGAGATAATTGAGCTCAACGTGCTCCTTACATGTGCTCTCACCTTATTTTCCATTGTCCTCACAATATCACCAATAACCGCATTGTTGAGCTCATAGGAGTCTCCAGCAGCTGACGCCTTCAGGATCAGAATCGACAACATCAACACCAACATCATATTCAGAATACCTCGACGGCATCGAACGACAACGACGGCAAGGTTCATGGCTAATGGGGCGGTTGGCCGGAAAAAAAACCGATGATGAAGAAGAGGAAGAAGACGTCGTTGGCAGAGAAGGTCGAATGCAAATTGGGTGATTCTGGAGAATGAGGAAAACGAAGAAGAAGGGTAAAAGGGTAGAAGAAGACGTGGATGAGAAGTTTCGCGCCGTTCTTGTTGATTTTGAATTTGAATTCAATTTTAAATTCCAATTTGGAACCTTGTCTGGGTGGTAGACATAGAATCACAAGGAGACAGAATATGGTATTCAAGTTTAACAATTACAGTATACCTCGAGGTCAACAATAAATATCTATTTTGGGTTCAAGGATGTCGGGAACAGGGGGAAAGTTAAAAAATTCAAAAAATTCTGAAAATTCTGAAAATCCTACAAATTCTGAAATTCCCGAATTTCTGAACTTTTGAACTGTTGAAAATTTCAAAAATTCTGAATATTTGTAAAATCTAAAGACTCAAAAAAATTCTGATTTTCTGAACTTCTCAACTTCTGAAATTCTGAGAACTCTAAAATTTTAAAAGTTGTGAAAATTCCGAAAATCCTGAAAATTCTAACGATTTCTAACAAATGCTAAAATTTCGGAAAATCTTGAAATGCCTGAATCCTTTGGAAAGTTCAAAAAATTCTGAAATTTTTGAAAGTTCCGAAAGTTCTAAAAATTCTGAAATTCGATTTTCTACAGTACATTATTGAGTTATCGACAATTCTGAATATTTGAACTTTTTAAATGTCTGCATATTTCAAAAAGTCCGAATTTACTAAAACATCTGAAAACCCTGAAAATTCCGAAAATGCAGAAAACACTGAAAATTTTGAAAATAGACGCTCCAATAGTTTTCTAGTCATTCTTCAATAAATTTTAACAAAAGTAAGTTTATTGAAGATTTTAAAATTGACAACTTTCGAAAATTGGAATTGAGATTGATACTCTAATAGGAGGGGGCAAATAATTAGGAGGGTACAAAAATTTAGGGGTCATTGGGGTACAAAGCAATTTAGGGGTACAAAATCATCAATTCGAGGGTACAAAACACCGGAAAAAAGGCTTAGTTTGTACCCCCGAATTGTGGATTTTGTACCCCTAAATTACTTTGTACCCCCTTGTACCCCCGAATTGTTGTACCCTCCGAATTATGTGCCATAGGAGGGTCTCTTCATTTTGAGCCGATTTATCTCGGTTAAAGTAAGAGATATCAAAAAGTGGTCAATTGACAAAATGTTTTTGATATTATGATAAACATCTTATCAGTTGACCACTTTTCGATATCTTTTGGAAAAGAGATGAATGGACTCAACGTTGAAAGAAGACCATTCTATTAGAGTGGTTACGGTATCTGTCTATTATTAGGTCAAGCAAAATTAACTGATTGTCCGGGATCTCTGTTCCGACGTGTGCTTATAACTATCCCGAACAGCTGAATTTTTCCGAAACCAACCGATCACCTCCTGTCGGATGGTTCTATTCATGGTGAGGTAGACGATTGCGGGGCATCCTGAAATTTATTTCAATACACTTTGATCTCCAGTATCTCGGTGTCTAGAAGAGATATCAAAAAACTATGAACTGATAAATTATTCATCATAAAGTCACCAATATTTTATCAGTTGACAGATTTTGTTATCTTTCACAGGAATCGAGGTAATTCGGCTGAACGTGCGACTACCCACCATGGACAAGTGACCAAGCCAGTTCTCCAAATAGCACAATATACTCGTTGGGTTTTATGAACATCATTGATGAGTAGACCAGAGCAGATGAGCAATTGATACACCAGATGAGAGCGGATTGAATGAAGACATTTCTTCCCGACGAGACTTTGTAGCCCATTTGTTTCTTAGCCACGAAGAAACAATAAGCGGCATAGAAGAAAATAGTTCCGGAGATGAATATGATGTTGTTATAGTTTTGAATTGGGTTGTAGTACTCCTTGGATCGATTCTCATAGATCATGGGGTCCCCAATCCATGCCATGACAGTGGAATTGAAAATGATTGCAGGGGTGAAAGTGATAACAGATAAAGTGTAGAGGATTGGAATCATCGCGACGATCCAAGTGTGGTTATTGGAGAAAATTAGCTCAGAAATGGTTGGAGCAAGGATGTCAGAAATACGGTTGATGACGAGGAGAAGAGTTAGAGCACAGGAACTTACCCAGCCGCCTATAACGATGATGGATGTCATGGATAGGCTTATAGCTTCAACTCACCCAACGCAAAACACCCTGCCACATAGATCAGCTCTGGGTACGTACAAAAAACCGCACTCACTGTGAACAAGCACCCAGATAGTATTGTAGCAGTACCTTAAACTTTTTCATGTCTTCTATCTCCATTTCTATTACTTACACGTGGCAATCATATCTGTAAGCCCTAGCAGAAACATGATCTTGTAGCAAGAGTGTTTCAGAAGGCCGCGCTTATAGATGGCTCCTAAACAAGGGACATAAATGATCTCGATGAAGACACCGAAAATAATGAGAGCGATTCCTAGGAACGTTCTTCGGGTTCCAAGTAGACTCGTCCATTGCTCAGGGGTTTTGCCGGTGCAGTTGTATAAGGGGTTGCCCTGGACACTTCCGTAGATTAGGAGCGAATCCATTCTGGAAAGGGAAAGTGAAAAATTAATCAAAAACTTAATACAAAATTCTTTCTAAGAATTGAAATTCCAGTAATTAAAAATTTGAAATGTTCTCATTCTCATGACTGTTTTGCTAGAAAATATCTCAAGAATTTTCTCGAAAATTAATTATCAGCAAGAAACGCCACATGAGTAATCTGGACCAAACCTTGCTTTTTATTTAACTTGAAGAGACATGGGATTCTGATGTGGTGTGCCGTAATACTTGTAAAACCTACATATAAGTGCTCCTAACTGTTAAATTCGAGTCAATTTATCTCGGATCCTGTGAAAGATATCAATAATTGGTCAACAGATAAATTATTTATCATAATATCCAAAATATTTTGTCAAGTGACTGCGCTTTGATATCTTTTACGAAAACCGAGTAAAATTAGCTCAAATTTGAAAGTGGGCGCGCGCCCTTTTATTACAGGTCTTACTGTAGTCATCGACTAACAAAAACTTCATGTTCATGCTTTCCTGGGCCTTCTAACTTATATACAGTCGTTAGAAATTAGAATCGAATTTTCGAAAAAAACTGGAACTCTGTAAAACTTGATAAAAACGAATTCTCGGACTATTTATGTTTTGTCCTAAAAAATTTGAGACAAAATCCCTCATTTTAAAGCATCGTTTAAACCAACACAACTTTGTGAATTGGGATACAATTTTTTCTTAAATTTAAAAACCTTATTTGGGTCGTTTCGAGCTTCAAAATAAGTATAAACAAGCCATGGTTTTGGTAAATTCAATTTTTGACCGCTTTATGCGCTTTTAAATCCAAAATTTCAAATTTAAAGGAACATGGTCTTGTTTATACTCATTTTGAAGCAATGTGTCTGACAAATTTAAAATTTAAGGTTAGAAATAAATTCAACAGAAACGTATTGAGTTATAGTGAATTGGGAATGCAAATAATTTAAGGGCTTAAAAAACACACCAAATAAAATTAGAAAAATAAACAAGTGTCGAATCAAAGCGTTTTGGGTGGAAAATATCAAAAAGTAGTCAACTGCTAAAATGCTTATCATAGTTTCACAAACATTTTATCAGTTGAACCATTTTTGATATCTTTTACAGGAACCGAGATAGAATAGCTCAAAGATTTTATACCGGTTTTACGGTATTTCTGATAGCTAGTGTTTCGTGAGTCGAAAACGAATGAAACGTAAAGGAGCTAAATGATCCCAAAAAAACTTCGACACCCAAGAATATTTATCCTAGTCGCCTCATTCTAGTCAGTGTTCTCTGTTCCTTTAAAAAATCAAAAATAGCTGCCTCACCTAATGAGACGGCCAAAATCATTAAAACTGCTCATGTTGTATACCTGTATAGAAATGATTCATGGAGCAGCAGGATCAATGTGTCAACGTTTGTCTAGAACAAGAACTAGAACACATTCGGTCCTGTCACAAAATCACAAAATAGAGAAAAAAATCACAAAATAGAGGAAAAATGGATGCCAGAATGCCTGCCGTAAACATCCTAATAGAATGACCCCTAACTTTCGAATTTGAGCTCAATTATCTCGATTCCTGTGCCAGATATAAAAAAGTAATCAACTAATAAAATTTGGTGATATTATGATAAACAGTTTATCAGTTAACCACCTATTGATATCTTTCAAAAGAACTGAGATATATTGGCTCAAAGTTGACGGTTTGGGCGCATTCAATTTGAGGGTTTCCGGTATATTAGGTGGGACCATCTGAATGAAAAAATTCAGCCTGCTCATGTATAAAATTTTGATTTTTTAAAAATTTATTATCGCAAATTCTCCTGATCTCTGAAGCACACTAATATAAATCGTAGCCTTGGCTTTCCCAGAATTCCTAAATTCTCTGTGCAAATCTGTGCAAATTTCCGCTTGATTGTTTTTCTTCATCCAATTTTAGTTGATTTTTGTTGTCTCCGCATTAGTCACTTTTGGACTTCCGGGTTTTTCATGTCTTGGGCTTTTGGTATCGGTTAAGATGCTCCGCAAATTTTTTTTTCCTAAATAAGGTGAATCCTAAATTTTTGTGAGCATAATCCTCAACCTAATCTAGTTTCGTAGGAATCTAACCTTTTGATTTTTCTGAGTGTCTGTATCATTTTAGACTTTCAGATTTTCAGATTTTCAGAATTTCAAAACTTTCGAATCTCAGGATTAAAGATTTTTAGTTTTTCAAAATTTCAAAAAATTGGGGTTCCGGAATTTCAGATTTTTGACTTTCAGGATTTCAGGATTTCAGAATTTCACAATATCCGAATTGCAGAAACTCATAATTTCAGATTTTAAAATTTTCGGCATTTCAAAATTTCTGAGTTTCTGTATTTCAGGATTTCAAATTTTCAGAATTTCAGAACTTCAGATTTTCCGGATTTCAGGATTTTAGGATATCGGAATTTCAAAGTTTTAAAGTTACCGAATTTCAGGTTTTCTGAATTTCAGACTTTCAGAGTTTCCGAACTTCCGAATTTTAGATTTTCAGGATTTCAGAATGTAGATTTTTTTAGATTTTCAGATCATCATCATCATTCTTATAATAAATAAATAAATGGAGTCTGATCGGTTTTCTGTTTATATATTATCGTAAAACCTGCATTATCTGTCAATTTCACTAAAATGGAGCAAGTTTTTCATTTAAAAAAAAGTGTTTCAACAAATTTCCCTCAAATTGTGGAATTCCCGAAACATTTTTCATTGAAAGCGTACGGAAATGTTCTAATTTCAAGACACATTTTGAAAGGGTCCTTCTTTACAGAGAGCCCTTCTATTACAGGAGGCCCTTCTCTTTTTCCTAGCCCCAATCGGAGGGTCCTTCTTTTAGAGGGGCTCTTCTATTGGAGGAGCTGTTCTAATATTGGTTTTCCGGTATTCATTTTTAAAGAACTTGTTAGGACAAGAGTCGGAAAATATTAATTACGTGACCCAATGACCCTTTCCATGTCACCTATTTAGGTGGCAAGCCGCCGTGGGTACTTTCTGACTCTTGTTCCCTATTCAGCTAATTGGCACTTTTACCTTTTACCCCGACTTCTGCCCACCTATTCTCTATTTGTTATCTGGCTATAATAAACCTATTCTTAACATTTTTAATATCAATTTTTGAAGGTATTCCATGTAAAATGGGAACGAAATACCAACACAATATGTCGGAAGACTGTTTCAGCTCTTTACCGAAAGCAGAGCAAAAAGAAGTTATGTTTAATAATCTAATTAAACCTAAAATTAAATAAATCTTCAGTTCTTCGGAAACTTCAAGAGACGAACGATCAATTGAGACTAGATATCGATAAGGATGAGAAAACACTGGTCGACCTGCGGAGAACTATTCCAAAAAAATGTTCAGAGATGTACAAAATGGAGAAGAAAAAGCTCCTGAACCACTATGTGAGGCAAGGTCCTAATATATTCAAATCATTTAGTTGTTTTCAGTTAGCCGCAGAACTTTTACCACATTTGCCAGAGCAAGGACTGAATACTGATGAAATTCAACGAATGCGCAACACAGTCAATGCACGAGGGGACGCCCAGGTTGCCAACCGGGAGGAACTTAAGCACATCCTCCATCAGACAGAAGAGGCTAGTATATAAATAATTTATTTATACAGCAGTGTGTGCTATCGGTACGGTTTCGGTAAATTGACCGGTATATTTACCGGTAACTTACCGGTAAAATTACCAAAAAAGCCGTTACCGGTAAGTGAAAATCGGAAGTCACACACTGTTATACAGTAACAGTTTTGCAAATTTTCAGAAACTTCACGAAAACAAATTCCTCCAGAAACAAGTCGACGATCTCGCAGCCCTCCTTCTGCGCAATATGGAATCTTAATTTTCCCACACCCGGTGGGTTTACTTGAATTGACTATCTTCTCTTTTTCTAAAAATTCAATTTACTCGCTAAATAAAAAATTATTATTATTTCTCTCTTTTAAAAAATTCAGAATAAAATAAATTATTGTCGAATTGAAAAAAGTGACACCTGAGAATTTGAAAACTTTTGCTTTTTTTGATCTACGAAAAAGTGCTTACAAAAACGTAATATTTCCGAATTCCGGCTCGTTCGAGCTACTTTCGCGTTTGAGTTTAGTTTTTTGCTGAAAAATGGATTCTAAAGATGCTAGCGATCATTTTCATACCAAGGAATCAAAATTTTGTTCAGAAAATCCCACTAAATTCACATAAATAAATTTGTTATCTACAGTATCCGTTTTCGCTCCGCCCCCTCGTAAATCGACACGAGCGCCGTCTCCGAGATTTTCAGGTGTCACTTTTTTTAATCCGACAATATTCCGAAATTTGTATTCCGAAATAGACCGAAATTTGTTTTTTTTTTTCAAAATTTAGGTTTTCCTCCTTTTGTTCCCGATAAATCGGCGATAAACATCGTGTAAAGCCGAGAGACGGAGAGAAAAAGTCGTGAATTGAAATGCATTTGGTGCGAACAACATTACGCTATAATGCAGACGCTAAGAAATTTCTTTAATTTTTTCGAGATTTTTTCAGACTTTTCGGGATAATTCCGGATTTTCCGACCATTTTCCATATAAAAAAGGCAAAAAAACAACCAAATCCTAAAGGGAAACATGGCTGCTGACTCTCAAGATGTAAGTTTCCATTATTTTGAGGCCTTTCTGAACATTTATGATTTTCAGATCTACAGAAATCTGTCAGCGGATGACTATCAAGCTGCACCGATTGTGGTGGAGAGCATGTGTGCGAATTGTGAAGAGAATGTTAGTAAATTTTCAAGGATTCTAAATTTTTTTTGAAAATAAAACTTCAGGGCGAAACTCGTATCATGTGCACATCAATTCCCTATTACAAGGCCGTGATTCTAATGTCGTTCGAGTGCCCACACTGTGGCTACAAAAACAACGAAATTCAGAGTGGCGAAGCGGTTCAGGAGCACGGAACGCTCGTCGTTCTTCGTGTACAGAAGCCAGAAGACTTGAGACGACAATTGGTGAAATCCGAGTACGCGTCGATTGAGATTCCCGAGCTGGAGTTGGAGATCCCACACAAGTCACAGCCAGGAGGTGAGAGATTTTCCTTTTTAAACGTTTTTCCTAATTTTTTGAAAATTCAGAGGTGACAACAGTGGAAGGAGTTCTAGAGCGTGTGCATCGTGGTCTAAGTCAGGACCAAGAGAAACGTCGTCTTCTGGATCCAGAAGGCGCGGCTCAAATTGACGCCTACTTGGCACGAATTCAGAGTTGTTGGGATCTAAAAGAGAATTGGACACTTCGTCTGAGAGATCCGACTGGAAACTGCTATATTCAGAATCCAGATGTACGGCACGTGGATCCACGATGCATCATTTCACATTATCACCGATCGTTGAATGAGAAGAAGCTGTTGGCACTGGCTGATGATAAGTTAGTAGTCTATAGCTGAGTTACTGACCTAAATTTTTTATTTTTCAGTGATCAAGAAGAGCCAGTTGAAGAAGAACCAGCACCGGAGTTCAAATCCTACGACGATGCGAAACAAGAAGTGCTCCATTTCGCCACCGATTGTCCCAATTGTCACGGTCCCACTGAAGTCAAAATGAAGCCAACAGATATTCCATTCTTCCAAACTGTCATCATCATGTCCCTTGCCTGTGATCGATGTGGTTACAAATCCAACGAGGTCAAGTCAGGAGGAGCGATTCGAGATCAGGGATGTCGGTTGTCTGTTCAGTTGCGAGAAGACGTGGATTTGGCTAGAGATGTTCTGAAGACTGACACGTGTGCACTGTCGATTCCGGAAATTGATTTGGAAGTTGGTGGAAACGCGTTATGTGGAAGATTCACGACGATTGAGGGGTTACTGACAGCTACTAAGGAGCAATTGGATGCACAGTCTTCGTTTTTCATGGGAGATTCTGCTGAATCCGAAGAGAAAAGTGCGGTGATGACGTTCCTGGAGAAGCTAGACGACATCATCGCTCTTCGTCTTCCTGCCACGATTATTCTGGACGATCCAACTGGCTGTAGCTATGTGCAAAGCTTGACAGCGCCAATGGATGATCCACGACTGACCAAAGAGTTCTACACGAGAACTTTCGAGCAGAACGACGATTTGGGAATCAATGATATGAAGGTGGAGAATTATGGAGAGTTGGAAGTGTTAAAGGAGGATGAAGAAGGGGAAGAGGAGGCGGAGACGACGACGGTAGAAGCATAGATTCAATGATACATATTTTTTGTCTCGAATTATTGTTGTTCTTCTTTCTAATCTATTTTTGGCACTCAAATTGTTTGAATTTGGCGCCGAATTGCGGTCTGCGCCTTACTTTATGCTGAGTTTCAAAAAAAAAATGTTTTCTCTGATTCATCCCAAAATTCCGGTATATTGTTATCACCTTATCACCCCTTCTTGTTGTGTTCATTGTTCCTTATCATTGTTTGTTCCTTTTTCCAAATCAAATGAAATTTCAAAAAAAAATGTATTTGAAAAAAAAAATGTTTGTATTTTCAGAACTGTCTATTTCTTCAGCAAATTGACACATCTGTGACTTGCCAACTTTTTCCTTTTTTCAAAATTTACTTCCCGCCCTCGAAACCCTTTTTATACCAATTTTCGAGATCACTTTGCGATCACTTTGCGCAAAATTTCGAAATATAATTTTCTTTTTTCCTTCTAAATGCCTATTGCTAAATAGTTATAAATTATTCCACTTGTCATTGTGTGTTTTTTCTAGAGCAGCGACTTTTGCTTTGCGAAATAGGTTGTAACAGTAACACAATATTATGCTGAAGTTCTAGAAGGAATTTTGAACGGAAGAGTATAAAAGAGGAGTAAAATTTGCAAAATTCCAAGAAAAATTAGGAAATCCGAAGATTTTTTTTCGAATTAGAGCTTTTCGGACTACTGTATTTTAAAGACGCACACACATATTCCATTTCGGGTTTCGAGTGGAATTACTTTTAAGTTTTTTTTTTGCGTTTTCGAAATATTTTTTGTCGATTTTTGACAGATTTTTGGCGCTTTTCTGATCGGAGAGCTTCGAATTTTGAAAATCGAAATATTCCGAAATTCTGAAACTCGGAAAACTGCTTTAATGATAATTTACAGTCAAAATTTTCACATTTTTCGTCTTTTACACTATTATTGATAGTTCGGAACTTATTAGTTCCTCTTTACTATACAATTAGTATAAGCTAAACCGGTCTCTTTCATATATTTTTTCGTTTCTCTAAAACTCTCTCCTCTCTCCAATTGAACGTTTCTCCGTCGTTTTTGTTCACACATCCTCGCGTCGCTCTCTTCGTACGTACACAAAATGTCTGCGTCTTGTTTCTCTAGTCTTTTGAAAAAGTCAATCCATGGAATTTTTTTGTTGCAAAAAATACAAAAGCTCTTTATTTGGCCTACTTTTCACTTTTTTATGAGCTAAATTTTTCGAATATTTTGTATTTTTCAGCTTAACAAACTCAAACTTCTCACAAAACAAAAAGAAATGGATCGAATACAGGAGAACCAGAAGAAAACCGTCAACCTGTGTGAGCTGTACGCCGAGGACGATAATGAGGTCGACGAGAAGGTGCAACGTGGACTCGACGCCCAATTCTTGCTCCGTTCCACCCCAGAAGACGTCGAGAAGTACTCGATTCACCTGCGGAAACAGCTGATGGAAGGCGAGGGAGAGTGCTTGATCGAGTTGGGAGTCCCGATTAATTCCAATTCGAAGAATATCAAAACTGGAATTCCGGAGGACGATATGCAGAAAGCCGTCGACGCTCATCAGAAAATTCTAGAGAAGATTCCGGCTATTGGAACGCTTGTAGTGCGAAGAAAGCAAACGGGGAACCTGGTGACTGAGGTTTGGTTGGTTCGAGATCCGCCAGAAGAGAAGGACTTCATCGAGGCACGTGTCGCTGTTGTCGGTAATGTGGATGCTGGAAAATCCACGTTGCTTGGTGTACTAACCCACTCGGCACTTGACGATGGACGCGGAGCCGCCCGTACGAAGCTTTTCAGACACAAACATGAATTTGAGAGTGGAAGAACGTCATCGGTGGGAAATGATATTCTGGGATTTGATGTGCATGGAAATGTGGTGAATAAGCCAGACCCACACAATCACAATTTGGATTGGGTGCAAATCGGTTCGGACTGCGCCAAACTGGTCACATTCATAGACTTGGCTGGACATGAGAAATATCTAAAAACTACAATTTTCGGAATGACGGGACACATGCCAGACTACACTATGTTGATGATTGGAGCGAATATGGGAATTATTGGAACCACCAAAGAACATCTCTCGCTGGCACTATCACTACATGTACCAGTGTATCTGGTAGTCACTAAAATTGACATGTGTCCAGCGAATATTCTCGAGGAAACTATGAAAAATATCACAAGACTGGTGAGAAGCGCTAAGAAGCTTCCGATTCTGGTGAGAACCATGGATGACGTCGTCCACGCCGCTGTCAATTTCCCCAGTAAAAAGTGAGAGTTTTCTGTTAATCTGAAATTCAAAAAATTAATTTCAGAGTCTGCCCAATCTTCCAAGTGTCCAATGTAGAGGGAACCAATCTTCCACTCCTCCGCCAGTTCCTGAACATCGTCCCACTGAGAAGATCCTTGAATGAGAATGATCCGGCACATTTCCAGGTTTCCCCTACTAGGAACTTTCAGTACTTTAATAACCTATAAATTTCAGATCGATGACATCTACTGGGTCGATGGAGTGGGAACCATTGCCAGTGGAACACTGCTCTCTGGAACCATTCGACTTAATGATATTCTGTTGCTCGGACCAACGTCAAACGGTGATTTCCAGCCGATTCCGATCAAATCGATTCATCGTAAACGCATGCCAGTCGGCATTGTGAAGTGTGGACAGTCCGCTTCGTTTGCGTTAAAGTGAGTTGGACCTAGTTTGAGGAAAAAGTGAAAAAAACAGGTTCCTAACTAGGGAAGGCCCCAACTCGGGTGTGGCGATACGGGTGGTGACCTATATCATCTGAAAGCTGATATTTTCCTGATTCCAAATATGTTTTCAAAAAGTGCATTGTCGCGGTAGTTTTCGAGAAAATTGGGTCAAAAATTTCGAAAAATGACATGGATTTCTAATCTTATTTTCCTTCCTCACGTATATAAGTTTTACTGTGTTGAAAAATGTGAAAGCGTGGTTGCGGGGTTAGTGAGGAGGAATATCAAGCGATAACTCTCTGGTTCGACTCCCTCGAGCTGCCAAACTTTTTTTGAATTTTTTCTTCGTTTTTTCTGGTGACTGTATCTGACTTCTGGGTGATCTTATATAGTTCCTTAAGCTTGGAATTGGTTTCAGTTTTGATTTTAAGCGTTTTTCCTGTTGTTTTGGAAACTTTTTGTTTTCATCTGTTTTCCCGCAATTTTGAAGGGATCGTGATTCTTTGAAGGTTCTAGACAAACCGCATGTTTTTGATTTTGCTCAAACTATTGTTATTGGTACTTTTGGGTATGCTGATTACAGAACTGAAGTCAGTTTTTCCACCCTGTCCCTGTGAAAAAAGTTGTGAGCTCTGAAAGTGATTACAGTACTAATTTCTCAATTTCGGAGTGAGTTTCTGAAGGAATTATTGACTTTATTCGGGGAGTTTTGAATGTTTATAGTATTTTGATTGCTTGTCTACAACTGACAAGGTTTGCTCTTTTTTTCAAAAAAAAAGTTTTTTGAAACAATCGCCATGGTACCCCTTGGCATTTTTCCGATTTTCAAATTTAAAATGTGCTAGAGTTAGTTCTAAACGAAGAGACACAATAAAATAAGATTTTTTTCACAAGATTTGACAGAGCTATGTCCATTTCTAGAAGTCAGATACAATCACCGGAAAATAAGAAAAAATTCAAAAAAAGTTTAGCAGCTCGAGGGAGTCGAACCAGAGAGTTATCGCTTGATATTCCTCCTCACTAACCCCTCAACCATTTTTTCAACACAGTAAAACTTATATACGTGAGGAAAGAAAATAAGATTAAAAATCCAAGTCGTTTTTCGAAACTTTCGACCCAATTTTCTCGAAAACTACCGCGACAACGCACTTTTTGAAAACAGATTTGGAATCAGGAAAATGTCAGCTTTCAGATGATATAGGTCACCACCCGTATCTCCACACCCGAGTTGGGGCCTTCCCTAGTAAAATTATTATAAAAATAGGTCCCGAAAAAAACTACGTGAAAAAATTTAGTCACAGAAAATTACGTGAGAATATAGGCCACTAAAAACTAGAGTGAAATAATTAGGTCACGAAAAATTACGTTGGAAAAATAGGTCACCGAAAATTAAGTGAATAAATAGGTCACGTTTTAGGACAAGTGGAATTACGTGAAAAAAATGGGTCACGTTTTTAAAAGTTCACCTGAAAATACAAATCATGTTTTATAAGATTTAGGTCAATATACTAAACGTTCACGTTGTTCAATTCCAGAAAAATCCCGAAAAAGGACGTTCGCAAAGGAATGGTCCTAGTGGACCCGAAAACGAAGCCAGTGGCCAGTATGTTGTTCGAAGCCGAGATTCTCGTCCTCCACCACCCGACAACCATCAAACCCAACTACCAAGCAATGCTTCATATCGGATCCGTCCGTCAGACAGCCACACTGGTGTCAATGGGAAAAGAAGTGTTGAGAACTGGAGATCGTGACAAAGTACAGTTCAAATTCATCCGACAACCCGAATACATTCGACCGGGCACCAAAATGGTGTTCCGTGAGGGACGAACCAAAGCGGTGGGCACTGTGCTCTCGGTGGTCCCACAAGAGTCGTTGGCTCAGCAGCGGGCGAAACAGAAAGAGGGTAGAAATAAGCATTGTGAGTTTTACGAATTGAAAAAAAATTTCAAAATACAAATTTCAGACGGCAAGAAAACGGGCGGACCAAAACCACCAAACGGAAAACCGAAGGTCGAGAAGCAGCTAGAGGCTCTGTCGATCGATAAACTCGCCGATTCATCATCGGCCTAATTGCATTTTTTTGTTGAAAATTCTGTATACTCTCCGGGATCTCCCATACACTTTGAGCAATCTGTATAATTTTTTTACCTTTACTCTGGCTGGTCCTCAATGAATACTGTAGATAAAAAGCGGTTCATATTCAAACAGAAATTAGAAAATTAGTAAAAAATTGAGATCGTTGATATGAAGCATCGGGTCTAGGGAGGATTTTGTCTTGCAAGTGCTTCTGAAAGTTGCTCTTTTGGATAATTTTGATTCAAACTATTTATTCAAACTCACCCATCAAACTCTGACGCATTTTCTCTTTGTAAACCGGGTCCGTGAAAGCGCTCAGAGCTTGTTCGATGCCTTCCACAGTCAACTGACCGCCGCTGGAAGTCGTGGGCGGAGCTTGTTTGGGACGTTGGGGTTGTGGGCGGACGATTTGATGTGCTGGCTGAGCTCGGAACGCTTGGGATGAGGATGAGGCGGCAGACTGAAACGACTCTAATTGAACATTTTTTAGACACTTGTGTCAACCTACCGTAACCGGCGCCTTCTGTGATATTTGCTGAGCAATCCGCTGCGCAGGTTTCTGTGGCTGAACCCGCGAAGTTCCGGGAAGATTCATTTGTCCTCCCATCGCATTCATAAAAGCCATCAAAGCGGCCGGATTCAATTGATTCAACTGATTCGCCACCGCCTGCTGCTGAGCTTTTATCAACGCCTCCTGTTGCTCATTCTTCTGCTTCTCTTTCTCCTGTTTGGCGTGAGCTTGGTAGGCGATTTTCTGGAAGTAATCCCTCTGTTGTTCCTCGCGTTTTTTGGCTTCTAACGCCTCCTTTGCGGCCTTTTCCCGGGCTAGCTTCTCGGCTTGCTCCTTAGCCTTTTGGGCTAGTAAGGACTTTTGATGTGCTTCCTGGGCTTTTCGGGCTTCCTGCGCCTTCCGGACCTTCTCGGCGTTCTCCTTGGCTTGTTTCTCGGCCTGCTCTTTAGCCAATTGGACTAGTAAGGCCTTTTGATGAGTTTCCTGGGCTTTTCGGGCATTCTCGGCGTTCTCCCTTGCTAGTTGAGCCTTTTGGGCTTGTTGAGCTTGCTGCAGTGCCAGCTGTATTTGCTGAATCTGCGATGCGGCTTGAGCCTGTTGTAAAGCCTGCAGAATCATGGTTCGATCTGCAGAGATTACTGTAGATGATGTTGAAGACGTCGTCGGTTTGGAAGAAGCAGCGAGGAGTCCAGTGGCAGATGTAGAAGGCGTTGCTTTAGGAGTAGAGGTAGAAGACGCCGTTGCTTTTGAAGAAGCAGCCAGGAATCCAGATGCGGAAGACGTCGCCTTGATAGACGACGAAGACGCTGAATGCGTTGGTTTATAAGGAGCAGATGTAGAAGGCGTCGCCCTGATGGACGATGAAGATGCAGAAGGTTTCAAAGAAGTTGTAGGAGTCGCTTTAGAAGCAGAAGACGTTCCTGTAGCCACAGATTTCGACGCTGCTGCTATTACAGCCGCAGCATTTGGCACATTCAACGCTTTCAGCGTCTGATGGACCAGCAATTTCGTTTGTGCGTCCGTGGAACTGATGTTGGCAAGGGCGAACTTCAGAAGCGCTTCCCGTTGATTGCTATTGGTTAGTGTTGCAGGAATAGCTGGTTTGGCTACTGTAGGTTTTTTAGCAGCCTGAAGATTTTGAGCTGAATTTGAATTCGATGGTCCCGGTTTAGAGGACGTTCCAGAAGACGTTAGCATATTCAGTGCAGATGGTGTAGATGCAGGTTTCGCGACTGGCTTTATGATGGGCTTGATGATAGGCTTGACTACGGTCGTCGGTGGTTTAGGAGGACCCACTACAGGTTTCGTCGGAGCAGGAAGCTGAGCAATAGGCGCCGCCGAAGCAGTTACTGCCGCCTTCTTTGCAGGTGGCTCAATGCATTGCACCTCGTCGTCTTCACTGATCGGTGAGTAGCGTGGGACTGGACGGACGATGTTGGAAGATGAAGAAGCTGTGTTGGCAGATGACGTCGCTGGCGTTGAATCAGGCTTAGAAGGTGATGACGTGGACTTCTGTGCTGTCATAAGCTTTGTCAACTGAAGAGCCAACTCGTTATAGGACTGTTTATTGGGCGAGGAGTTTTGAGCGTTGAGCAGAAAGGCGCGAGCCATATCGGTGAGCTGCTGGTTCGACGTGGATGAGCCTGCAGAACTTGACGCCTTCTGAACGAACGTATCCAAAGTGCTACTACTGCTGGATGATCCCTGAAGACTTTTCGCCACGTCGACGGCATCGAACTTCCTTTTGATCACAACCTTCTTCTTTCCATCAACACCGGTCGCACCAGTCGTACTCGACTGATTTCTCCGTCTCAATTCCTCAATCGAGTTGAAGCAATGGACAATAATAACTTCGGTTTTCGCTCGGATCAAACGGATAAGCTCTTCTTGGGGTTTCGAGCACTTCTGCAGTGTCTGCCACAGTCGCCAAAGATCCGTTCGAAGGGATTTCATCGAGAGATGGTGCGTTTTGGGACGATCCGGTCCTGGTGATGGTGTGCTTCGGGTGGAGGTATGATCTCGAGTCGACACAATTTGCTCCATAGCCGTCAAGTACAAGGTTACCACTGGTCTCCATGATGGTTTGTCAATGTGTTGTCTGAGAAATGTTTATTTTTTTGTTATTGTACAGGTATGCTAAATAAAGAGCCGTGGAAGAGGAAATCTGGTGGCTGCGGCAAGTACCGTAATACGGTAGTTGGGACGTTCAGCTACAGCACCCGACATTTCATTTTCACAGATCTGTTTCTGGGGGTATAATACTCACTCATCATTCTTCGAAATAATCCCAACCATCGTCTGTAACATCCCAACAACATGATGCAAATCGTTAGTCTTCTGTGCAATTTGAGCACCAATCTTGATACACCTCTCGATATGAAACGAATGCGACCCATTTCTATTCAAATCTGCACATGTTATCTCTACGATATGATCGAACATCCCGTCATCTCTCTTCTTCCGTTTGAAGACGTTCTTGAAGATTTGCTCAGATGCCAAACCGAATTCTCCTTTTTCGAGATAGATTTGTGCCAGTCGATAGAACGATTTTATATGTGGGAACTTTTCAGAGACGACGGAGAAGGCTCTCATGCACAAATCCTTGATATCCGAGACCAGCTCTTTCCGAAGGTCCTCGTCTTTGAACCCTCCATCTCCGTTGCCGTCTTCCTCCGTTACCGTAGCCATCACTAGCTCATCTGCCACCTCATAAACTTCTGGATTCACTTTGAACAGGGAACTGCTGGGTTTTGCGACTTTATGACCATCAGAGAGCACTGCTAACATCACTTTTAGCTTTCTCAACATCTTCAAATCCGGCAATTCATTATTCTCCAGATACTTATAGACTGCTGAAAACGCTTGGTAGTGAACTTCCAATGGTTCAAAGTTCTGTTGTCGCTTGGTCTGAACCTTCTGCGGATAGTAAAATCCGGTCAACTCGCATCCGCACGCCGCCTCGTAGAAGCTCTCCACCACTTTCAGAATGTCCCATGTTGCCATTTTTGCTTCTATTTTTCCAATGAAGAAATAGCAGAGCCATTGGTGTTCCGGTTGTGTTCCATTATCATTTAACCTTGTCAATTCTAGCGATTTATCCAGATGACGTCGAGAATCTTCACGCAGTTTGGCGATGTCTTGGGTATCCGCCCGACGTGGATCGTCTTTCGCAAGTGTTCGATGGAATCTGGCAAGACACGTGGCAAGTTGGTAAAGACGAGCGGCTAGCTCAAAATGAGGTATTGGTTCGTGCTCTTGAGCTTGAATCGCTAGCCGGGATGGCATGATACGCCATTTCCACTGATCGTAAATGTCGCAGAGGTCCAGCTGGAATTAGGGGTTGATTATTATTATTATTATTATTATTATAGTATCAAAAACTCGGAGCTTTGCCCATGATCGAAGATTCCACTACAACTACCGTAACCTAAAAATAGTTTTATTTTCCGACTTTTCTGACGGAAAGCAGCATACATGGCCAGAATTGGTGGAATTTAGTCTTGCCGAGCAAGCTCCAAAAAACACTTTTTCTGTGTTAGTTTACTTGCTCGGCAACCGATACCATTAGATTCCTCTCATGATTTTATGTATAATACGCTTCGCTGCCGAGCTAGCTTTTCAAAATTGAGCCGAGTAAGAGCTTCCGAAAAATCTCCCGAGGTGCCTTCCACCACAGGAGTAACCCATATATGGAAAGCAGTGAAAAACGAAAAAATAAATTCTGAAAGAAAAACATTTTCAGGTTACTGTAGTTGTCGTGGTGGGACCTTCAGCTTCAAACTTTCTAAATTCCCTACCTGAAACAAATCATGCATATTCGTATGTGCCAAAATCGCCCACGCCGACATCCTCAACCGATTATCACAAGCAGATTCTTCAGTTAGCAAGTAAAGCTCCGCGAATTTCGAAGCCTCCTTGAACGAATTCTGTCTGAATGAACTCAACGCCATCGCATACCAAACCATCGACTGAAGATAGGTATGCACATCATCTCGATATTTATCTAGACTGGAATCGACGTCTTCTATCGTGCATGACTTTTTAAGTGCCGCTTTGAATTCCCTCATTTGCTCCTTCTTCTCATTCGAAACTTCTAGAAAGAACGGGAATTTCGAATTTATCAGCTCTATCACATCATGCATCAGCTTCTCCTTATCATCGTGTAGTGGAAGTGGCTGGACCAGAATCACCGATAGCACCCGAGTAGCGATTTCAAGGGTGTTCACACACTTCCCACCGTTCTCATGGTTCTCTCGAGCTCTCACTTTTCTCGAGAACTTTCCGAATAGGCAAAATAGAATTTGAGAGAGCTCCTCGTTGAGATTATTCCAAAGAAATCCATTTTCCTTCAAATAGCATATCTCCAAAATCGGTATGTTCTCCTCCACAAGCTCTCGGTATTTATCGATAACGAAGAGAAGGAAATCGTAGCTCTTCTGCGCGCAACATTGATGCTCTCCGAGTACCTCGTGCGCCTTAACCAGTAGATCCATTTCCAACAAAGGCATCACATTGGGGTGATCCGTTCTGTTCAACGTCTCAATGTACTCTTTAGCATCGCCCCGTTGGATCCTGACTATCTCATACAGTACTCTCCAGTTCCTCCAATCCTTCTCAAATCTTGGAAACTTTTTGAACACGTGGCAGATGAAATATCCTATTGTGAAAAGCGTCTGGTGATTTGGGATTTTCGAATACTCGGCACCTGAGATTCTATGGAGCTTGAAAAGGATCGATTCGATATGCTTCTCAACCATCTTCTCCTCCTCTACAGAGAACAAATAGAAGTGCATGACACGAGCCAGCAAAACCACAAATTCCACATAGGCCTTCATCCTCTCCAGAGATTGCATCCAATAGCTCAACAACTCCATAGCCTCCTCCGTGCCTATAGTTGAGAAGTCGATGTCGTTCTCCAGAATCTCAACAAGGCTTTCATAATTCTTCGCCTTCCAAAGATGCTTCACACTATCGATTCTCTTCTTCTTCTCCAGATCGTCGATAGCCAGGTCCACATCCCACGTGGCAAACGAGCCACACGAAGTGGCAACTGATTCTTCGGGTTCCAGTAAGGATCGAAGTGTGTGCAAGTACTCCAGCTTCGTCTCGTCTTTCAACCCAGTTTGTGAATATTTCCACATAAATCGCAACACGTGGATTCGCTCATGCTTCGGTGGATCCATCTGCTTGAAGATCGACGAAATATAGCAAAGAACCATCGTCTCCATGGCTTTCCGGGAGCCCAACTCAATTAACATCAGTCCCATCTCGTGGTATTTCTCCTCTTGGACATCTTCAAAAAGTGCCAGACGATTATACATTTCTCGTGTTACTTGACGCATGGATTCAGGAAGAGCATTATGTGATACGTGTTCGGTAATGATGAGCAATGTTTCTTCAATGATATCCAGGATTGTGTGAGGTCCGCCATTGAATCGGAATCCCAAAAGTTCTAGAATAGCGTCACAGTCGATGAATTCAGAAGGTTGACTTGGTGGAGGCGTTCTAAAAATTAGCTGAGACATCTGGATGCACAGACCAACAGATAGACTCACCTCTCCCTTCTTCTCTCCCCACATCGTAATGACTTCACTTCAGAATACTCTAGATGAAACTCTTGAGCCAATTCCAAATCAGGCATTCCATCATCGTCCTCCACCTGTGAATCATCCTCATCTGCTGTCGTATTAGCTTCTGAATCTGCCACGTCATCCACACTACCCCTCTCCACGAACAGCCGTCGTCTCCAGTTCGCCAGATACTCCTTTTTCTCCTGACGCTTCTGCCTTCTTCCCTTCTTTGTCTTGAGCATCTCCTCAGTCTTCTCGGTCATCTCCTCGACGCAATCCACGATATCCACGATTTTCTCGAGTGTTAAGATGACGTCAAGATAGTCACGACGAGACTCCCATTCGCTGATCTCGATGAGCTGGTTTCGGCAGTGAGAGTGCGCGTTAATGCGATCGAATAGGTCACAGAAGAGTGTGCAAACAGAGGGGAGGCTGGAAAAAGAGGATTCGTTTGCCAAGTGGATTCTGGAAATTTACAAAAAAGCTTACTCCAACTGATCCGATATATTAACTTGAATCGCTGACATCCACTCCTCATCCCCTTCAATCCTTTCCTGCTGCTCCATTATTCCCCTTGTATTCTCCTCGATTCTCTTTCTCAATTCATTGATTCTCTCATCAAATGCCATAATTTTAATCTTCTCAACGATATCCACATTCGCATAAACCTCATCCTCCTCGAAGATTCGATCACAAAGAAGCTTGTAGTACTGATTGGTTGACCTAATTTTGAATTTCAAGTATTTCATTTTATCATTCAAATCGTTCTGCTCCTGATACTGCTTCAGAACAGTCAGGCACCCGCTATAATCACAGGTGACAAAGAGCAACGTGGCATGAGCCTCAAGGGATTCTTTAAGGGATTCACAGCGTTTGAAAGAGTACTTTGCGAAATTTAGGTCGCCAAATTCCACGCATTTCATTGCCACATCGAACCAGATTTCAGAATTATTGGGTTCGTAAGCCAACACTTGACACAGATGTTGAATTTCCTCGTGCTTCAATTCAAATTTTTCTTTTTCATCGAGTCCTTCCCTTTCCAATGCTTTTTCGGCAAGTTTTGCTAAATTTTTGTGAGTAGCTATATAGATTTTGAGCATTTTTGCTAGCCGTGGTGGCTCTTCTAGAGACTCATAGTCCAGCTCCTCCTGACGATAACAGGACACAATTGGATCATCGAGAAGTTTTTCTAGAATCTTCTGCCCTTTATCGATCTCCTCGTCGGCGATGAATGTGATCGCTTTTTCGAATTTTTTGATGGTTTTTGCTTCCTAAAAGTTCAAAAAATTACAAATTTAAAAAAAAGAAAAAAAAATCTTACAGCCGCTTCTGCTGTAATAGCTCCTGCGGATTCTTTCACATCTGACCAAACTGAATTCACGGAATCTGTGTCTATGGAGCTATCAGAATCTTCGTCATCGGATTCTGAATCTTCCGACTCTTCTTCATCGTCATCGTCTTCTTCTTCAACTCGATTTTCGTCGTCAGCACGATCCTCTGGTTCTGTATCGCTATCGAGGATAATTACGGAGTTCTGAGAAAAATTTCATAACATTAAAATCGTTGTTTTCTAAATATTACCTCTCCGTCAGAAGATTCTTCATCTTCATCGATTTCGATTGGTTTCTCTTTACTCGTGCCTGATTCTGTTGGTTCACCCATTACTGAAATTTACAAAATTCGATAAAATCATATTTTTTCTTTTCAATTTTCAAACGATTTTTTATCTTTTAACCCACTTTTTAAACTGTTTTTGTTCAAAAAATACTCTTCGCGCCGATTTACGATAAACAACGCGCACTACGATGCTCCGCGAAACCCTGCCGCACGGTTGCTTGCCCCGCCCATTTGAGGCGCGCCGCATATTTGCGTTGCGTTGAAAACGATTGGCCTAAAAATTTCTCTTTTTTTCCTATTTTTTGGGGGTTTTTGGCGATTTTTTTCGTCGTTTTTCGAAAATTTTCAGAAAGAAAAACTGTTTATATGATCAGGTTCACCTTTTTCTACGTTAAATGTCAAATTGTAGGAAAAGTCATCGACTTTCGAGCAAAAGCTGATATTATGATTTTATCGTTTTTCTTGCTCGAAATTTTCCTGTTTCTCGAGTTTTTTCGGAACGAAAAGTGAAGTATTCGATTCTTTAAAATATATTTTCAACTGTTCTCTAGACTTCTAACTTCCGCCTCATGACTTATCTACACACTTATCGATTAATTTCATCTTTTACTGTTCGCTTTACCTTTCGAAAGTTTTTCGAAATTGTGAAACGCTCTGTACTTATTCAATCTTCCCACCAACAGCCTTTTCGAAAATTACTTCAAGTCAGAATGCACATAAAAACAAATTTCGAAATCTTTCTCAATATTTTGACATTTTCGCAATTTTTTTCCTCGTTTCTCTTGTTCTCTATAAAAAGCCTGATGAAAATGTCATTGCTCAACTGAATTTTCAGCCAGCACCGCTCAACAAGTGGAATAAAAATGCCTTTGGCCGTTGACCTGCTTCACCCAGAGCCACAAAGGGAGATCAGACGCCACAAGCTCAAGCGTCTTGTTCAACACCCAAACTCCTACTTCATGGACGTCAAGTGCTCGGGATGCTTCAAGGTGAGTTAGGTTTTCAACAGCTGCTACATAGATCAATACAAGCAAAAGTTCGTATGCCAAAGAAAGATTTTATTATACAGTTCATAATTGGGATATTAATATATCTCTATCGCACTGATGGGTACTTTCGTCTTAACACAGTTGGTTAGAGATTTCCGTTAGAAGCTGCATATTTTTGCCCAGACAAATCACCAATTCCTGTTTTTCAGATTTCAACTGTCTTCTCGCACGCCACGACCGTCGTTGTCTGCGTTGGATGCAACACCGTCCTCTGCCAGCCAACCCGAGGAAAGGCTAAGCTCACCGAGGGATGCTCCTTCCGCAAGAAGCAATAAGTTTCCCGTAATTGTTACATAAATTGTTTGTTCACATCTCTTCCTATTTTTGGTTGATAAGAAAAAACAGTTGTTTAAAAAATTTGTTATTTAATTCTCAACAACAACAACAGACAAGTGTGAATGAATTTCAGATATTCCGGAGAAATGAATGAAAATTTGAATAGAGAAGAGGGTTTAGTTGCCACCTGAATTGGCGATTCCGATTAATCCTGAAAAAATTGATCTGGTGTCCTCCTTGTAAACTCTGAACAAAAAATCCGATACTTTGTTGAAAAGAACAAAAACTGTTGATTTTAAAATGTGTCATTGAGACATCATTCTTTTCAAGACTTTCAGCTAATTGACTTCCCGTTAACAGTGTCGAACAACTGGATCTTCCCGTTTCCGGTAATGAGCGTTGCCGAAGGTCTCATTGCCATTTCAAACAGAAAAAAAGTATTAGCTGTTTACTTGCATATTTTATATGTAAAAGTGGGTATTCAGTTACAAGTGAAATGCGAACCTCCACTTTCGCTCCTAAAAAAGAAGTAAATCATTTTCCGCACGATATACCCTCTCCCCGGGTTTTCGGAGATTATCACTTCTGTAATCGTTTACCCCATTATCATAATCCCTTCTTCTGTACTATTGTTCCCCGTTTCCAACCTTGAGGCAGCTTTTCCTAGACATTCTCCTCCCTCCACTTCAAATCAAACACAGGTAATGAGACGACGAAATAATTAGTGCAGTAATTGGCCATGTTTCTGGGCGAGAAGTCGAAAGTGCCAAAGTAAATGAGAAGAATACACGAATAGGAAAGGTAGGAAAGGACAAGTGCGTTTCAATGCCATCTGAATCTCGGGTGATTCTGGTGTTATAGGTATTACATATGCCAACTGTGGCGCGTGCTAAATTTTTATTATACTATTTATTCTTTATGGCAATAATTAATGCGACACGGTTAGGTGAAAACTTTAAATTCAAATATTCACGTGACCTACTTTTTTTCCACGTCATAAAATATTCATGTAAAAAGCGCCTGAAAGAGAGTTCTATAATAAATACGTGAAACAATATTACGTATTTAATATGGGACTCGTTTTCAAGTGAATATTTTATGACGTGGCAAAAAATTCAAAAATTCTCACTTGGATTTCCTTTAGCATGTCGGTAATATTCACGTAACAAAACAAGGATCCTTGTTTCAAACCCCCTGTCCGCAGCACTGTCAAAACCATCTCCTTCTTGCCCACGAGCTCATTGTATTTGCCCATCATTCTCAGTTTCTTTTCGTTGTTTTCCTTCCGCGTTAGAAAAACATCCGTTTCTTCATCATGCAAAAAAAAACCGTAAAACTTTCTCCAATTTCTTCGTATTTTTTTGCGACGCACTGGTTTCGACAGGGCATTAAGCCTCGGTAGCGCTGGGCACGTAATCCGAAAATTTGAATTTTAATAGAGGAGAGAGTGAGAAGGAGAATAAATGAAAGTGTGTATATGCATATTTTTATACTTTTCAAAGTTGATTTCTGGAATTATTAGAATTACCAGAGAAGAGCGCCTCTAATTGTTAACTTTGAGCTCAATTATCTGGACTCCTGTGAGAGATATATAAATTTTGTCAACTGATAAAATATTTTAGATTTTATGATAAACATTTTGTCAGTTGACCACTTTTTGATATCTTTTACAGAAACTGAGATAAATTGTCTTAAAGATGAAAGTTAGCGGGGTCATTCTATTAGAGTGTTTCCCGTAGATCCTTTTTTTTTAATTTTTAGCTGAAATTGCCAGTTTTGGTATGAATAAGATTAGTTTTTATTCGATCATTCTGAAAGCTTCGCAAAACACCTAGAACTTTTTGTAGATGGCAAGTTTTTTTTTCAGAAAATTAACTTCTGCCATAATTCGATTTCTACAGGTTCATTACATTTGCGGATCTTTAGCATGGCTAGTTCAATAACCTATAACAGAAGGGACGTTCATACTTGCTAAATCTCGGCCCGGGTTCCGATAATTTCGAAAATTTTCTGATAATTTTTGATACATTTTTATCAAAATAATAATTTTAAAGCACGAAATTTATCCCATGACCCTTCTCAAACCTGAAAACAAAAAACTTTTGATAAAACGTTCCCAAAAATCCAGTTTTCTCTCAAAAAATGACTCTTAAAAATTTTCCCTCAATAACCCGGGCCAGGCCCGCGACATGTATGGGGACGTTCCTAGGGACCCCTAATTTCTAACTTTGAGCCAATTGTTTTCGTTTCCTACGAAAAATACAAGAAAATCTGTCAATTGATAAAATGTTCGTGAAAATATGATAAACAATTTAACAGTTGATAACTTTTTCGTATCTTTGTCAGGAAATGATATAAATGAGCTCAAAGTTAAAAGTAACGGTGCCCTTCTATTGCAGGTTTAAAGGAAGATTCCAACCGATTGAAAAAAACGGCAACAATCTCAAAAATATGATCTCTGAAATTGTCATTTTTCAGAAACCCCAAGGCTGGCCCTTCATTCAAAGCGAATACGATGCCCTTCCACGGATAGATCTTACAAAAACGAACATCCTGTATATCCCCATATCCAGGAATCAGAAAAAAACAGATTCTATTTGAGCAACACACCGGCAATCGTATCCTTCTTCTTCCTCCCCTCCCAAATATATACAATTCTCTATGTCAAAAATTTTTCGAAGTCGGGTCAAAAATCGGACACATGTCTCTCTGTGTTATGTTTTCTTATTTCGCACCATTTCTACAACTGTTTTTTTTCTTCGATTTGCTCTCTCCAGCCGTCTTTGGAAAAGAGCAAATATAGTGATGGCGGTCGAGGCGGAGGGCGGCGGCGGAGCCAAGAAAGGAACCGTTTTTTGTGCTCCCCAAGACACTGTCATCGTGTTCTTCGGGAGGAGAGACATGTGTTCAGAGAGGGGGAGAAGAATGAGCAACACCTCTGAACCTTTTTCCAATGACCTTCTCTTTTTGGTGTGTTAGTGATTTTTCTTCTTTCATGTGTTTAACTTTTTTATCTTTCAACTTTGAGCTAATTTATCTTGGTTCCTGTAAGAGATATCTAAAATTGGCAAACTTGCAAAATGTGTAAAATTGTATGGTTAACATTATGTCAATTGATCACTTTTTTAAAATCTTTAACATGAAATGAGATAAATAGGATCAAAGTTGACTGTCTGGGGGAGAGATGATATTTTTAGAGTGATTACGGTAAGCCACGTGGAAGTGCGGGGACCCAAATTTTTCCGCCATGAGCAATCTGGATCATCCAGGTGTCCTTTTTTAGCTTTAAATTTGTTTCTGATATCTGAAAAAAGACCTTTTGAAAAACCTACAAAGTCAACAATGGTACTGAAGGCGTTCTTTTTTATAAATTTTTTGGATTTTTGCAATTCTTTTGTAGAATTACTTTTTGGTATTAAAACTACAAAATTCATAGAAAAATTTCTCAGAACTGTTCCCCTGCTCTTCGTTTTGCACTTCTCAATAGTTAGTCATATTTCTACAGTGTTATCTGTGACGTATGTAGATTTGCCCTAACTATGCATATGGACACTATGAGTAACATGGATTCGAAGAATTTCAAACAAGCAAATATGCTAGAAAATGTATGAAATACAGGATGCCTGCGTCAGGTACTGTATTTTTAGAAGAAAAAGATTTTTAGGCCAAGGTATAGAAATTTCAATTCAAAAATTAAAAAATCCTTTTTTGAAGTATTAGAACTAACTAGATGACTAAACTTGTCAAAAATGAAATAAGTCGTTAGAATTACTGACTTAGGAAACGAAATAGTATATTAATTCTCAAAAGGCATGTTTTCTGTTAATTAAATGAGAAGAAATAAGCAATTTTTGAGTACTCCTTTAGTGATTAGCAGACGAAGATCTTCGAAAAAAACATATGAATGATTGTATTGCCGTAAACACTCGGATAGAATGGCCGGCATCTTTGATCTTTTATATCAAATTTAGTGTGAACGACATTAAGTAGTAGTCAACTGATAAAATATGTGAGATATTATGAATAACATTTTGTCAGTTAACCAGTTTTTTTAAATATCTTCCGCAGAAACTGAGATAAATTGGCTCAAAGTGGAAAAGTTGGCAGTCGACCGCGTAGCTCAGCTGGCAAGCGCCGACTGTTCAACTTATATATCTCATTTCCTGTAAAAGATAGTAAAAAGTGACTAACTATCAGAACTTTCATCATAATTTCAGAAATGTTTTGCTAGTTAACCTGTTTTTCATATCTTTTACAGTAACCGAGAGAAATGGGCTCAAATTTGAAAGTTAGTGGATCATTAAATCAGAGTGTTTACGGTATACTTGAGGCCCGGGAGTTTCAAAATCTGAATTCACTGTCTTTCTTCTCCCACAGGTTTCCTTAACAACCAATCCTTTCTTCCGATTCCAACCGATATTCCTTAACGAAGCATGACTCCTAGAAGACGTAGCTGCTTGCCACCAGCCTATTTGTTGTCATACATATTCTGTCAGGTACAATACAATACGCTCTCCCTCTCAAGCCTCCCCCATGCCAACCAGTTCATTTCTCTTCTGTCATCGTGTGCTTGACGCTTGACAATCATCCAACCATGTACACATAGTCACCGACACTCTCTTTCTTTTTTTTTGGCGCAACACAGAGTCTTTTTGTTTCGATCTCTGCGTTTCTACCGTTCGTTCGCACCGCCACCCAGCTTTTCTTACGTAGACATTCGGAAGAGACAGTGAGGTGGGATGATGATGATGGACTAACAATATAGAATGAACATGAAGTATCCCCAAGAACAAAAAACCAGGTTCAGGTGGCGCAGGCGTAGCGAAGTGCTTTTTGTTCCTTCTCACCTTTTCTTTTTGTATTACTGTACTTGTCCTGTAGAACTCATCTAGAAGGTTTTCTATTAATTCTTTTTGATTGAAAATCTTTTCAAACTTTTCAAATTGAGTCATATCTTTTTCTACAAAAATCAGGTCGATAAACGATAAACCATCTTTTCCTCTCTTATAGAAGCTTATTACGTAAGTACGTTTTGAGTTCAATTATCTCGGTTCCTGTGAAATATCAAAAGTTTGACAACTGATAAATTATTCATCACAATATCACAAATACGCAAATACGGCAAGTATGGGTGTTAACTTTGAGCCCATATATATATATATATATATATATATATATATATATATATATATATATATATTGGAATTCTGATAGACATTTCTGATAGATATACATATTCTGATATATATATATATATATATATATATATATATATATATTCCAGTAAGATATATAAAAAGTTGTCAAATGATAAAATGTCTATCAGAATTCCAAAAGTGTTTTGTCAGTTGACAATTTTTTAATATCTTTCACAGGGATTGAGATGAATTTGTTCGAATTTGAAAGTTAAGTTCTACTAGAGAGTTTACAGTTATTCGTTTCGATGGAATTTTTTCGAAAAAAAATTAGTTCGATGTCAATTACAAAAAATGTTTCTATAATTGATGGTTTTAAAAATGTAGGGTAATCCGAAAATTTTCGAATCTTTTCAGATTTTCGAATCATAAATTGTATACCTGTAATAGAAGGGCCCCTTTACTTTCAACTTTGAGCACATCTCATTTCTTCTAAAAGATATAAAAAAATTTGCTAAATTATAAAATGTTTATCATAATATCAGAAATATTTTATCAGTTGACATTTTTTCATTCCTTTGTTCATGTTAAAGATATAAAAAAGTTGTCAAACTAATCAATTGTTCATCATAATATCACAAACATTTTATCAGTTGACACATTTTTGACATCTCGCATAGGAGCCAAGAAAAAAAAAGAGCTCAAACTTGACAGGGTGGGGGCCCTTCTATTACAGGTTTCAAGGTAAGTATCTTGTACATACTTTTAGAACCCCTTTATGGATTTTTTTGGTTGCTTTGTATCATTAGACATTTTTTTCCTACTTGACCTAAAATTTCTTTATCCAGGATGTTTGAATTATTTTCCACACCATCATTTTCATGCATCAAAAAATCCTATTGTCTTTAATCACTCTCACGCTAATTTCCGTCTCCGAAAGTAATCTTCAACCCAAATACCAACTTTTCCCTTCTCACCCTAATCTTCCGATAGGTGCCAAATTGTGCGTGTGAAAAACGGAAAAAAACGAGCTTCTCTTTTCACGTAAATGACCAGCCAAGTCATCAGTTTTCCGTCAGTTTTTCGGGAGAAATCAGGGCTAGCTCTCTGTATTTCTCTCTGCGGTTTCCTGCGAAAGAGCAACAATCCGCGCGGTAAACATTAGTAGTAGGCATCTGGAGAGAGCGAGACATGTTAGGTTTCAAAGCCATTTTTTGGGGCAACAGCTCTTTTTTCCCACATTCCTTTTTTCTTCCTTTTTTGGTCTATGATGCATTATGCTGACATTTTTACATCTCTTCATAATATCTTTCTCGTTGAATGGTCCCTCTAACTTTGAGCCAATTTATCTAGTTTCGTATGGAAAATTTCAAAGTGGTTAATTGACAAAATATTTATAATTATATGATGAAGATTTTTTTCAGTTAACTTTGGCCTTTATTGTTGAAGATGAAAAACCGTGCTTACTTTGACCTTAACTATCTTGGTTCCTGTGAGAGATACTAAAAAGTAATCAACTGACAAAATGTTTTTCATATTATAATAAACATTTTATCAGTTAAACGCTTTCTGATACCTTTCACAGCAAATGAGATATAAGGCTTCAAAGTTGAGGGTTTGAGGGTCATTCGATTGTCAACGACGAAAACCTTTGCTTACTTTGACCTTAATTATCTCGGTTCCTATAAAAGTTATCAAAAACTGGTCAACTAACAAAATATGTAAAATTTTATGACATAAATTTTGTCAGTTGAATACTTTTTGCTATATTTTACAGGGAATAAGATATATGGGCTCAAAGTTGAAGAATCGAGGGCATTCTGTTAGAGTTCTTACGGTAAATGCATGCAAGTTTCAACCGGAAAACTTATTCTTTTGAAATTCTCTTCCAATTTGTAGCTTTTCTAATCTCTAAGGTACCGATTTCTAGTCAGTTGGCAACTGGTACTCGTTACCTGTTCCCTATCCAAATACAGCTGTTCAATGGACCGGTTCACCACCTAAACTATTGTTCCCCCTTTTATGGTGGAACACTGATTGTTTGCACATTTAACCTCTGATCATCCTGAATTATTGGTTGCCTGTAGTAGTACTTTAGCACTTTGTTACTTTATTACTGTATAGTGCCCCGGCAGTACCATAATCCACTTTTTGAGTCATCATGGTCAGTTCAAAAAACACACTTGATCTTTTTTTAATCCTGAAACAAACTTGAATGATTCATTTCCATAGTATTACAAATTTTAAAAAAAGTCGCTGATTTTTGGAACTTTGGAAATACTGTAAAAAACTCAAATAGAGCGCTCTTCCAAACCATCAACATTGAGTGAATTTATCTCATTTCCTGTAAAAAATATCAAAAAGTGTCATCTGATAAAATTTTTATCATGATATCCACAAAATTTTGTTAGCTGACAACTTTTTGATATCTTTCATGAGAACCGAGATAAATTGGGTCAAAGCTAAGAGCTAGCCAGCCGACAACGTTGCTCAGCCGGGGAGCGCCGACTTTTAACTTTGAGCCCGCATATCTCGTTTCCTGTAAATGATATTAAAAATTGTTACCTGACAAAATGTTTTTCATAATATCAAAAACATTTTGTTAGTTGACCACTTTTTGGTATCTCTTACTGAAACCAAGAAAAATTAGATCAAATTTTAAAGTCAGTGGATCATTCTACTAGAGTGTTCACAGAGTTTGTAATGGCCCAAGTCGAAAAATTAGGAAACTCGAAACTCTAAATTTTGCATTTTTGTTGTTTCCGACGTTCTCGAGACACAAAATTCCACCACTTTTCGGATAATTCTACTGTTTACCATCTCCTGAACACCCATCATCATTTCTAGTTATTACCTCAACGACCTTACTTTTTTTCGTAGCCAAGAAAAAAAGGAAAAAAAGAAGGAGATCAAAAAGCTATAAACGAATACCCCTATCCTACTGTCTACCAATCGTAAACGCCTTCAATTCTTTCCATTTGTTTGGGAGATTTTCAATTTTAATTTCTTTCCCGCCAATATTTTTTCATCATCCTCATCATTGTCGGCGGCGGGGAGGTCTCAAGGCCGGAATAAAAACTCAAACGATTAAATATTTATAAATATACGATTTTTGTGAAATCTTTGAAAATTGCCGAGTGTTTTGTAGTTTGTGTCTTCTGGGTTACCGTATTTGACTCATTAGCGGTTTAGGGATTTTTCGGAAAAAAAGGTTCAATAGATGAATAATCAAAGACACATTTCACAAAGATTGAATTGTTGTTGTGTAATTTCTAAAGGTATTAGGATTTTCAAAAATTTCCTCTTTGCTCAATCTAGTATTTTCTTCTACCTACTATCTCTCTTTCCTATCTCTTTCTTCTCCCCTTCCAACTTTTCTCTTGCCCTCTCAATTATACGCACTCGCAATGTGTTACTTTCGGTGGTCTCGTGATGTAGTGGTTATCACATCTGTCTAACACACAGAAGGTCGGTGGTTCGAGCCCGCCCGAGATCAGGTCCTCTTTTGGTTTTTTTTTCAATATTGGAAAAATAGGACGTTCAAAAATTTTTTGATTTTCCTAGTTTTTAGAGCATGCCATGAGGTTCCGAACTTCTGAAATCTTGAATATTTTTCAGTATCTCGAAATATCTGATTTTCCAATTTTGGAATTTAGATTTTCGGTAAACTTTTATGATTTTTGTTGGATTCTAGAAACCTAGGACTCTCGAAAACTAAGAAACTAGCATCCTCAACCTCTGCCCTTTTTCTGATAATGAGTCTCCAGAACTTTTTTGTTGTTTATACAAAAAATTTCCAGAATTTTCCCGAAATTTTCCTGGCTTATCCTATTGTTTCTCACTAAATTTCGTCATTTCTAGAAGAAGACAAACATCATACTTCTCCATCATCATGGTTTTCGAAACTTCTAATCGTCTTCAATACAGAATTCTGCAAAATGACCATGTGACATTGTCATCATTCTTTCGTGCTTAATCCCAGATGGTTATTCTTCTACCATCTGTTGTCCTCCCCAAAAGTCCATAATTGGTGTTGGCGCGGCGCCAAGCCGATCATGAATCACTCGAGAGAGACCGTACCGCCCATTTCCCCTCCAGCCATTTGACCCTCATTTCGAAGGCTCCGAGAGGTCGTACGCTATTCAGGTTATCATTAGAGCGCCGTTTGCGTGCCAGATCATATTCCATGAACAACAAAAAACCGCTTTGAACTGTTTGACAGTAAGGTCACTTGTTCGTGTACCGCCCGTTTCGCTTTGTGTCCGCGCTCCTCCTCCACCTCTTCATCTTCATATGATGATTATGAATAGAGACACCTCGATGAATACATTAATATAAAAAAAAGAGGAATAAAAGGGTCAAGGGCTGCTAAAGCCAGCTGGCAAAGAAGAAGAGTTCAATCGAAGCGAGTTTGCATGGAATATGAGTCATTTTTGGTGCTTATCATTTCCAGATGTTTTTTCTTTCAGAAATTCAGTGTAGGTGGAGGTTTAAGGCCTTATCAGTTTTTTAAATGACTGTTCCATTTTTTGCTTTGCTAGTTTTCAGTAACTCAGTAAGACAAGCTTGTCTTCAGGAAAACTGATATATCTCAAAATCTTCAATTTTTTATAGTTCCTAGACTGTTCCGTTAAAAATTGCGGAGTTTTTCGCTGAGATCAGTTTACTTATTTGTTTATCATTTTTCTTTTAGGCAACCTCAAACCATTAAACTTGTCAAAATTTTCAAGAAAATTTTTTTATGGAGATTCTGATGCTTTTCTGATTTTTGAGACAATTTCCTTTTCTTAGAATTAATAGCGCATTTTTATCAGTTGTTAAGCATGCTATCTGATTTTTTATGGTTTCGCGATATTTTATTTTGTCACATCTACCGTAGAACCTGTAAAAGCGGCCATACTGTCATGTTTGAGCTCACTTATCTCGGCTCCTATAAGAGATATCAAGAAGTAGTCTACTGATAATATGTTTTTGATAATATGATGAAAATTTTATCAGTTGACCACTTTTTTATATCTTTCACAGAAAACGAGGTACAATGACCTCAAAGTTGAACAGTCGATGCTTGCCGGATGAGCTACGCGGTCGGCTGCCGACCTCTAAACTTTGAGTCAATTTATTTTAGTTCCTGTGAAAAATATCAAAAAGTGGTCAACTGACGAAATGTTAAGTATAATATCAAAAATATTTTGCCAGTAAACCATTTTTTGCAATCTTTTGTAAGAACCGAGATAATTTGCGATAAAGTTAGGAGCCCTTCTATTTTAAGTTTTACAGTGTCTTATGTTTCAAAAATTTTCAAGTTTCTTAGAACGATTTTTTTGCATATTTCAACTCTTCCTACGTCAGCCATGCGCAAACCATACAAAACTCCGCCCCCTTCTCTCTTTAGCTATCCTCCTTTAGCCTCTTGACACTTCACTTTTTATCCGTATGGCTACTCCAAAATGCCCCTTTTCATTGCAAAATACCGCCTCATTTTCTTTCTTTTCCTTTTTTGAAATAGTTTTTCGTGTTTCTTTTGTCCATCTTTCCGGCAAGAAGATGAAGAAGACATAATAATTTGAAAGGCCTCTTGAGCATGGTATTTCAAAAAAGATTTTTTCGGGATTTATTCTTGTTTTTTTGAAGTTTTGATGTCTCGAAATTTTTTTTGGATGCTTGTGGTTTTTTTTGCACTTTGAACGTTAAAAACTGGCGCCAGTTCCTTATATTCTTAGAGAAAAGTTCGAAAATGTACCATAAACCTGTAACAGAAGGGTCCCTAACGTTAAACTTTGAGCTAATTTGTCTCGGTTTCTTTCAAAGATACAAAAAGTTATCAAATGATAAATTGTTCGTCATAATAACAAAAACATTTTATCCGTTAACATAGTTTCGATATCTTGCATATTAACCGAGAACAATCAGGTGAAAACAGTCAGAGTGGGAGCCCTTCTATTGCAGGTTCTCCGGTAAGTTCAATGAGAACATTCAGAACAAACTTCGAGTTGAAAAACCGCAGAATCCGGCAAATTCTGAAAACCTAAGATTCTCAGATTTTAATCTCTAAACATTCATCCTTTCTCTCCAAAAAGTTCATTCTTCTTCATTAGTTTCCACCACCACCTGCCATCCATTTTCCATTTCAACCCATAATCCCGAGTCTCCGATTCTATGTCTGCCAAGGACGTTCCACTCACCAGAATCAAACCATTTTCCTCTCGGCATCAAGGGGCGTGCCACACACACGCTTCATCTCACTTTTTTCAGGAGACGTTGACGTCTTCTGATTCTCCTTTTACTTTTTTCAAAGGTACTGTCTTCTCTCGAAAAACGAAAACAAGACGCCAATTTCGTTTGTGGTTCTTGTTTACTCATCTCCTCCATTGAAACACACACGGCACGCTCGTTAGAGGAGAAAATGGGGCGGGGCTTAGGAGGATGTAAGTGGATCTTCTGGAGAAGGAACCAAGGAGTTCGAATCCTGTAATCTGTGATTCAGACGTTGCAATTTTTTTGATAATAGAGATTTCAAAACTTGAGCTTTTCGGCGTAGAGATTGCTAAACACTAATAGAGCCCCCCCCCCCCCCCCCCAAAAATCGTCACCTTAAAGTCTATATATCTTTCTTCCTGTCTAGGATACTAAAAAGTGTTCAACTGATATAATATTTGTGATATTATGATAAACATTATGTTAGTTGGCCACTTCGTGGTGTCTTCCCCAGGAAGTGAGATAAATTGGCTCAAAGTTGAAAGGTTGGCAACCGAGCTCAGTCGGCAAGCGTCGACTTTTCAACTTCAAGCTTATATATCTCATTTCCTGTGAAAGATAGCAAAAAGTGATACGCTGATGAAATGTTTATTGTAATATCAAAAATATTTTGTTAGTGAACTCCTTTTTGATATCTCTCACAGGAACCGAGATAAATTGGCTCAAAGTTAAAAGTTTGTTGAGGGGATTTTATCGGCTAATAGGTTTTTTAATGAAAAAGTCAAATCCTGTACCGATTTCTATATTTTCATCTAACTGTTGAACCGGAAACTTCAATTTCTTTGCAAATTTTCTGAAAATATAATGTACACCTTCTTGCTTTTCAGTCTAGTTTTCTTATCAGCTGCATTTACTCAAACTCTCCTATATATTTTTTCTTGAACAAACCAAAGCAAATAAACAACGCTGAAAAAATCAGGAAAAGTTATAGGTTTAGAAATTTTCAGTTTGATAGATAGCTGCAGTTATTCAAACATTTACCCAGATCTAGGGCTGTCGAAAACAGACCCACTGTTTTTTTGGTTACGGTACTTCTGGAAGCCTCGGCGGCCTGTCGGCCGAAAGAGCTGGCGGTTAGACCCCAGATCCCTAAAATATTTTCCTCATAATAATTTTAGCATTTGTGTTTTTAGAACTTCTCACATGCCTTTTTCCCATTTTGATCCGGAATTCTAAGCTTCACCGAATTCCTGTAGAAGCTTTTCCTTTTTCAATTCCGTCTTCTTTTTCTTCTTCTAAAAACCTGGCATTTACCATATAATCCATACCTTCTGACCACCAGCTTCACTCTATAAAACCATCCACCACCCACTCTCATTCACACTTCAAAGAACCGAAAATACTTTGTCTTCTTCTTCTTCTTCTTCTTCTTCTTCTCCTTCACCCATTCTCTTCGCTTGATCCATTCGTTTCGGGTGTTCATGTGAAATAAGCAGTTAATAAGCGTCAGGCAGGTAGGTCAATCTCTTTTTTCAAGTAGTAAAGAATTTTTGTAATGTACATATGAGTTTTGAGTGAAGAAGTGAAAGGTGAGGTTTAAGAGGAACTTGCCTCAAAAAGCTGCCAAATTCAAAAATGAGGATACCGTAAGATTTCTAATAGAATGACCCCCCCCCCCCCCCATCTCTCCTAACTTCTAACTTTGAGCTAATTTATCTCGGTTCCTGTAAAAGATACCAAAAGTGATCAGCATATAAAATATTGCTGACATTATGATAAACATTTTGTCAGATGTCTATTTTTTGATGATTAGTCCCATCTAATATACGAACCGAGATATACGGGTTACACGTTAAAAAGTGGACGCTTGCCGACTGAGCTACGCGATCGGATGCCGACCGCTAAACTATGAATCAATTTATCTCGACTCCTGTGGAAGATATCAAAAAGTTGTTAACAGACAAAATGTTTTTTTATATTATCGAAAACATTTTATCAGTTGACCACTTTTTGATATCTTATATAAGAACTGAGATATATGGGCTCAAAGTTAAAAAGTCGGCGCTTGCCGGCTGATAACGAGCGACGCTGTCGGCTGGCTTGCTCTTAACTTTGAGCCAATTAATCTCGGTTCCTGTAAAACTATACAAAAAGTGGTCAACTAATAAATTGTTCATTTTATTATCAAAAACATTTTGTTATTTGATAATTTTTAGATTTCACAAGAAATGAGATATATGGGCTCAAAGTTGACAGTGCAGAAGGCTTTAAATTAGAAGGCTTGCTTCACTATTTAAGAAGTAACGTACAAAAAATGGATGTACTCTAAAAATTTTGAATCATTTAGCTTCTCTAGTTTTCACGCTTCGATTATTTTTCTGCCAACCTATACAGTAACCAACCCCTCTCGCCTTCTCCTCAAAAACAATTCATCTCTCTTCTCCTTTTCATGCTCTGGTCACTTTTCTTCACCCGTCAATTTCTATTTGATTTTGTTATGATCCCCCCTTCCCAAGCTTCCCTGATTTTTTTCATGTGGTGCAATGTTGTTGTTTGTCCAGGAACACACAAGAAACCGGTGGATGGCGCACCAGCATTTTTGTTCCACGCTGAATTGAATTATGTACTATTCACTGCGGAAGGACTAGGAGAGGGATGAAATAAGAAAAAGGTGCATCACCACTTTCTTTTGATTTTGAGTTTTGAGAAACAATTGGTGTGGCAGTTGGAGAACTTTAATTGAAGGGCCTTGATCCATGTTCCTGACTTATGCCCAAAACTTTATGGATATGATTCTGAAATATCTGCTTGTGGACCACTTCATGAAAAGGGTTAAAGTTACTTTTTTCAGAAAAGGGTTAAAGTGACTTTTTCCTATCTGCGGGACAATTTAGTAGAATTTTATTAGCTAACTTTTAAAAAATTGTGTTTTGTCGAATTGCTCATCTCTCCACCGCCAGACTGTACTTTCTTCCCCTTCCTCCCTCCGTTTTTCCTAAAAGTGTCAAATTTCCTTACACAAACTGTATGGTGGTGTTCCAGGCCCTTACCTTCTCTAGTACTTCTCTCTCCTTCCTTCGATCGCTTACTTCCTTTTGACCACACATCCCCCCACCCAAAACATTTTGCCAACCGAAGCGGCAAACCGTAACCAACACCCATAAAGCTTATTACCATCATCTCCTGTCGCTTTCTTTTTGATTTTCGGAATACAAGGGGGGGGTTTAGGGTTGTGATATTTATGCAAAAATATCAGGGTATTCTGGATAACTGGTTCTGCAAACCGTGTTTCTTTGGTCCCACAAATATTTTTGCTTTTAGGAAAAAGCTTTTAAATTTGCAGCTGAATTCTCAACGGCTGAAATACCTGTAATAAAAGAGCATTGACTTTGACAAAATGCATCGTTTCGTGTAAAATATATGAAAATGTCATCAACTGATAAATTATAAAATCACCAACATTTTATTAGTTGATACATTTTTTTATATCTTGCATAGGAGCCAAGAAAACTCCGTTGAAACTAATCAGTGTATTTTTATTTAAACCGAATTTCCTACTCTTCTCCCACTACCGTAAAACCTGTAATAGAAGGGTCTCTTAACTGTTAACTTTGAGCCAATTTATCTCGGTTCCTGTTGAAGATATATAAAAGTTGTCAAGTGATAAACTGTTTATCATAACATCACAAACACTTCATCAGTTAAAACCTTTTTGATATCTTGCGCCGGAATCGAGATAATTGGGCTCAAACTTGGTAGACCCTTCTATTACAGGTTTTACGGTATCTTGCGATTTTCAATCCATCTCAAACCACTCATATAACTTTTTTGGTTATCTATTCTCTTATAAAAAACCACTCCTCCCCCAAAAAAGCTCGATTTCTACTAATCCATTGAAGCTTATACCCCCCACCGAGAAGGTTTCCATTTCCTCCCCATTTCTCTTGTTATGTGGAAAAATAAATCTTCTAAAAAAGTTAGCCAATATATCTACCAGAATCCACTCCCGCTGTGATAATCTCCATTTCAAATGCTAATTTGCCTTTACTATTTCTTCTTGCCGTAGGGTGTCTTGATTCTTGATTCTTCAAGAATCTTTTCTATTCTTCTTATTTTTTTCTTCTTCCAATTTTCTGCTTCTCCCAAAAAATTGTACAGTGCGTACTACTTTGTATAGTTTCCGTTTTTCTTTTTTGCTGCTTCTCTGGCCAAAAAATTTTGTCCTTTTCAGAAAGTACAAAATAGAAAAAAGCGCAAAATGGACTACATTGAAGATTGGGTGGATCGAGCAATGTCTTGTTTCTACAGAGATCGGTAAGTGTTTTTTAAAGCAGCAAAAATTGTGTTTAAAAATTATGAAACATGCTGCACCATACCATAAAACCTGTAATAGAAGAGCCTCCAAACAGTTAACTTTGAGTCTATATATCTCATTTCCTGTAAAAGATTCAAAAAATGTGTCAACTGAAAAAATGTTTGTAATATTATAATAGACATTTTATCAAGTGACACCTTTCTGATGTCTTCCATAGGAACCAAGATATATGGGCTCAAAGTTAACAGTGGTATAGAATGACCTACCTTTTAACTTTGAGGCAATTCATCTCGTTTCCTGTAGAAGATATCAGAAAGTAGCTAACTGGTAAAATGTTTGTGATATTATGATTAACAATTTATCAGTTGACAACTTTTTAATATCTTTAACAGAAATTGAGATAAATTGGCTCAAAGTTAAGGACCCATTCTATTCCCTTTCCTCTCTTCTGACTTTGGTATCTCGTTTATCACCAAAGCTAGAATACATTTGTCAACTAACAAAATGTAGAGAAAATCACAAAAAACAATTTTCTAGTTTACCAAAAATTTCCATCTCTTCTCCCAATTGAGATAATTGCTTTTTCAGTGACAAAGACGATCCTGGAAAGGCACACGTTCACGACGATGTCATTTTTGCACCGCCAGCGCCATTGGATCCGGCAAAAGTGGATAAGGATTTCGAGTGTCTTGTGGTAATATATTTTTTCAAAAGAAAACCTAAAAAAAGAATTTTCAGAAAGAACTTGGGCTCAGCGAGGAAAAGCAACAAGAAATGCATGATTACTCAATGGAGAAGAAGATGTCGCTCTTGGTTTCACAGCATGTAAGCTATTTGGGAGTTTAGAACTTTTCAAAAATGGGTCGTCAAAACACTTTCGTTTTTTAAACTATAATTTTTGCAACCCAATTTCTCTTACTTATCGGTTCATAACCTTCCATTCCTTCCCTTTACAATGTCAATTCGGAAATTGGCACACTCGTCACACCCCAACAGTCATCTCGTCTAGGACGATGTCTCTGTATATGTTCGCCTTAAATTGACCCAATTTTTGCGTCGAATGTGTATTATCATATGGTGTAGTACTGTGTTTTGACATATGGCATTTTGTGTGTTTGCTGTTCAGTGGGTCAAATATTTTTTGATTTGATTTGATTTGCTTTGAGGTGCTTCGAAAAATGTTTAATGCTGTCCGAAGCTGGTTGAGGTGTATAAAAAGAGAAAAAAAAACTTATTTTTGTGCTGGAAGACTTTTTTGTGGAATCTCACTTGCCATGTCTCAATTGGATGAATTTTTAAAAAACACCACTTCTTCTCTCTTAAAAATCTCGAAGTCTCTGTCAACTTTGAGCGCAATTATCTCAATTTCTATTAAAGATGTCAACAATTTGTCAACTGATAAACTGTTTGTTAGATTATGATAAACAATTTATCAGTTGACAAGTTTTTTATAACTTTAACAGAAACCAAGATATATGGTCTCAAAATTAAAATCTCGGCAGCCGACCGCGTAGCTCAGCAGGCTTCCCATTTTTTAACTTTGATATCTTATTTTCTGTAGAAGATATCAAAGAACGGTGAACCAATAAAATGTTTATTAAAATGTCAAAACTGTTTCCTCAATTAACCACTTTTTCATATCTTTGACAGGAACAGAGATTTGGGTTCTCAAATATAAGGGCTCTTCTATTACAGGTTTTACGGTATAAGTTTGATTTCAAACCAAAATTTTGTCCAGTTTTCTTCGGAAAGCCTCAAATTTCAAATATTTAAAAATTATAATATGCAGCTTATTATCTGTTTATTTACTCTCGCCATCATTCCCATAAATTCAATTGTCTCATCTGCCCTTCTCACCCCGCACCTTTTCTCGGGGAGAAACAGTGTATGGGACGAAGAGACGCAGAGGGCATATTGAAAATGAACTCCCGTAATTCCTCCCCTCCCGTTCCCCCCAGCCTATTGTTCTTTTTTCATAAGTGTGGGTGCCCTTTGTTTTTGAGATTTTGTGGGCAAGCTTAGAGTATAGGTTTGAAGGTTTCAATTCTCTAAATTTTCAGTGTCTCCAAACGGAAGACGCCTCTCACTTCATAGGGTTCCTCAAGAATTTGCAACAATCATTCGTCATCGATTCGAACACAATCAGACAGCTTCAGGATTTGGTTATCTCGTTGAGGACACAAAATTATAGGTGAGTGGGGAAATTTGAGTTTAATGACTATAAATTAATGCTTGAATCAAAAATTCTATATTGATTATATTCGAATATTATAATTTGAAAATTATATATATATATATATATATATATATATATATAATTTTTACATTTTTCCAATGCCCTTGTTCTTGAAATACCGTCAACACTCTGAAGAAGATCCTCCTATACTTGCTCAACTATCTCAATTTCTATAAGAAATAACAAAAACCTGTGAACTGATAAAAAGTTTGTCCTAATATCACTAAAATGTTATCAGTTGACACATTCTTGTCATCTGAAATAGAAATTGAGATAATTGAGCTCAAAGTGAAAGTTAGGATGGCCTTCCATTAGACAGTGTTCAATAACCTCATTCTGCTATTTTTTCCACTCCAATGTCAAACTTTCACAAAATGCAATCTTCTCTTTTCTGACTTATCCCATAAACGTTCCATTTTTTGCAAGTATTGTTGCCATCAAAAGGACACATGCAAATTAGAAAATGCGCCAGATGACAGTCTCTTTTCGTCTCCCATACACCCCTTCATAAAATTTATCACCCCTAACGAGTGAACACGAATGTTGGTTTTGACAACAAATGAATTCATCAAATTGACACCCCCGACAAATGTCGGGCAAAGAGGAAAAGGACAAGATTTTAGGGGTCCCGGAGGATACTTAAATGATTAATTTGAGTTGACATCTCAATTGAATTTCTAAAATGTTTCGGCACTATTTGGTGAGAAAGTGGAGCTGTGAATGAATTGAGAGCTTCCATGCCAGTTTCATGGTTCTGTTTCCTGTGACATCTCTTCCTTACATTGGATTACTGTAGTTATCTCGAACCTGTAGATTACCGTAGTTGTCTCAAAAAGAATTCTGCAGAAGTATTAAAAATTCAAATTTGTAAAACTTTTTTGTTTTTTGGCACCTTTCCTAAAAACCTGGATACCGTACATTCTTTACTATAACTCGATCCTTTACGTGCACTTTGAGCTCAATTATCTAGGTTCCAATGAGAGACATCAAAAATCTGTTAACTGATAAAGTATTGGTGATATTATGATTAACATTTCGTCAGCTGATCACTCTTTGGTATCTTTAACAGGAACCGAGATAAATTGATTCAAAGTTAAAAGTTAGGGACCAGTACAGGTTTTACGGTATATCAAATCTTGAGAAGTATAAAATTGTGGAGCTTTCAATCAATGTTTGAATTGCTTGGTCAGTTTGAGAAAAAAACACCTTTTTTCTCTTCCTTCTTTCCATAACTTCCAAATTTAAGCTTTCTTCCTCATAAATTTCTGTTTGAGTCACGCAACATGTGTCATATTAGGGACCTACTCCGAAATTCATAAAAAATTTTCTATTGGCAAAAATAACAGAAAAAATAACAAGCTCAATATAAAACGCACCAAAAATTTCTAAAATGTTTCGGCACTATTTGGTGCGCCTTTGGAAACTCACTAGGAAACACTATAAAACTTTAATTAAAACTTTCATCTTCAATTCTGTAACAATTACCTGATTCCAAATTATAGAACTTGGGGAAGCCTGTAACAGTTCTAACATTTCATTTGATTTTCAAAAGGATCTTTATTCAGAAAAATTTATATTCAAAAACAGTTCAAAAAGATTGAACCCCATTTTTCAGCTACCTCGAAAGTTTCCTCTCGGCATCTGGACTAAAACTGCTCACCGAACTTCTGAATCAGTGTCATCAGCAGTACGCACTAGAACAGCCGGCACTGTTCTTCCTGTATGCTCTACGTGCTTTGTTGAATTCACCGGTGAGTATAGATTTTCAAAAAAAATGGATTTCAAAGTTTTTTTCTAAACTTGTGTTTGAAATGTGAAGCTCAAATTCTGAAACCCTGCAAATTTAACTTCCCAATTGAAAAATGGCTATTTTTTGCCGAATCAAGAAACCGAACATAAATAAAAAGACAATAGGAAGAAAACCGTTTTTGCTGATTTTTCGGGTGCACAGATTAGGCGCGGTAAGAAGCATGCACAACGGTTTAGGTGTCTTTTCCATCAAATCGCACGATACAATCAACAGGTAAAACAATAAAACGGGTTATTTTTGGTTTCCCTGCAGCTTCGATTTTGGTTCATTGTAGAGGAAATATCTAGTTAGCAATTATGTGTTTTTTCTGTGTATTTTTCATTTATGAGTTTTTCTTGAATTCAGCTTTGGGTATAGATTCTGGGACATTTAGAAAACGGATCCACAGAAATACAGTAGAACAAAAAAGGATTAGAAAGACGACAACACCATAGAACCTGTAATAGAAGGGTCATTTTGAGTCAATTTATCTCGGTTCCTATAAAAGGTATCAAAAAGTGGTAAACTGATAGATGGTTTATCATAATGTCACAAACATTTCATCAGTTGGCACATTTCGGATATCTTGCATAAGAGCCAAGACAAATTGGCGTAAAGTTGAAAGGTATGAGGGTACTTACGGTATACTTATAGTTAATGTTGTCTTCAAATTTAGAATATTGAAAAAGCTTTCACCTATCTTTTTGATCTCCCTAACGCGACCCTTTAAAATCCGAAAAATTTATTTTTTGACCAGTATTGCATATTTCAAACTCTCGAATTCCTCACTACCAAATTACAGTAACCCCAAACATTCCACGAATGTCTAGACTCCCCATTCTCATCTCCAATTTCAAATCGTTTCACATGTAACAAATTTTTTCAGTCCTCCCTCTGGTCAATCTCTAAAAACCAAAGACTTCCCCGATGTATGTCTAGGCGCTCCCAATAAAAACTGTCTCCGTACGCGTTCCCGCGATTCCCGAAATGACGTATTTTCCGTGCTCCAAACATAATCCTTTTCTCTTTTCCTTCCCTGCCATCATCATCATCCCCATCTCGGGAGCGTCCCCCTTCTCCGGAAGAACACTGGAGAAACCTAATACCTTTTGGCTATCCCACTACCCACCTGATTTCCTGTCTCTTTTTGTTCTTTCTAGACACTTGTAAGAGTACATTTCCTTTGATACCTAATTTTATGCATAGGGGAGGAGAAGGATTTGGTAATTGATATGTTTTGAGTGGGAAGGCGTTGTGTACGTCTTATCGGAAAAGTGTATATATCAAGAGAGGTGGCCTAGAAATTTATATTTTAGGGTTTCTAAGCCATTATCGATATTAGGATGGAATTATCGTCCAATATTACCGCTTATGTATCTTTTAAATATGCTGAGAATATTTCAAAAAAAACATGTAGCGGTTATCTTTTCGAATTGGTTGTGAGAATCGAGAGAGTTAGGATCCACCAACTTATTCCGGCTCAATGATTCAATTTGATTTTCACAATTTCAAAAAGTCTGAAATTTGCAGAACGGACGAGCGGCAGTCCTACACGATGAGCAGCACGTGCTGGTGAGCATCGCAAGATCTGTCGATTTTCGAGATTTCAAGTGCAAGGTGAGTCTCTCTTTTTTTGACAACCAGTCCTTTTTTGTGGTGTGTCGTCTATTCATCAGGCAAAAGCTTTTTGACAGCAAACGAACACTTAGACAGTTCAAGTGGAAGCACACGAGTTGAAGAGTTATTCATGATTTATGCGAATACTTGTTCGCGATATTTTTCATTTTTTATTATTTTATGAACAATTCTAGACAAAAAACTTCGAATTCTAGCCAAAGTGATCAAAATTTTCACTAAAAATGATCTAAATTTTGATCAGCAAAAAAACCGAATTAACCAAAAGTTTCATTTTGGAGCCAAATATAAATTGGACCTTACCGTCAACACTTTGATAGAATGTTAAAAATGCCCATTATTGAAAAAAAAACCGTTAACTTTGAGCCAATTTATCTCGATTCCTGTAAAAGATATCAAAAAGCGGTAAACTGACTAAATGTTTATCATAATATCAGCTAAATTTTATCAGTTAACATTTTTTAGTACCTTTCACAGGAGCCGAGATAAATTGGCTCAAAGTAGAGAAGTTGCTAACCGACGAATAGTTTTAACTGACAAAATTTTTATCATATTATCAAAAATATTTTAGCAGTTGGCGACTGTATCTTTCCCAAAAACCGAGATGAAGAGGCTCAAAGTTTAAGGGTCAATCTATTAGAGTGGTTACGGTAACCAACCAAATTTTGCAGCAAATTTTGAATTTTGATTTTTCCCTATTTTTTCAATTGCAAAACCTTTCGAAATATTTCTTAAGGTATACAGTATGCCGTATACTTCATTTATATTATTTTTTCCCTTGTCACCCGCCGCCACCATCATTTCCTCATGACACCGGAAACAACAATAATTTTTGGAAATTAATGCGTTTTTACTTTTTCGTACAACAACTAAAAAAAACAACAGAAATTTCTAAATGAAAAGTGTATGATTATTATTAAGATTCTGCTTATTTGTGTTGTCTGATAAGGAAAAAAACAATACAAAACAGATTACATAACCCCTCGTGCAAGAACAGACAGGGAGGAGCGAAAGAAGAGTTGACTTAAATTTTGAAATAATAATAATAATAATGAGTAAAACGATTGTATATATTTGAGGTGTCAAATCAATTTTTCTTTCAAATTTTCGTCGCTTCGTTTCTCACTTTTTCTAAATAAAAGGGTAACGTAAATAAATAAATAAATATATATATATATATATATATACCGTAAAACCTCTAATAGAACGACACCCGGATCGTCTACTTTGAGCCTATATATCTCACTTCTTTTAAAAGATATCAAAAAGTGGTTAACTAGTAAAATGTTTATCATGATGTCAGCAACATTTTACTAGGTAGCCATTTTTTGATATCTTTCACAGAAAATGAGATA